TATCAAAATCGCTGGTGTACGACACACGGTCGAACAGACCACCGTAAAGGAAAATTGCGTGGGTCTCGGTCTGCCCTGCCAACTACGGAGCCTTGGCTTGCTTTACGTGTAGGCCGCGAGTGCGATCCGGCTTCGGCTTGGTAGGCTTCGTTTCGATCAGTAAACGGACACGATTAAGCGCGACAAGATCGCCCGCGATCTTCCAGTTTCGACGCGAAATTTGGAGCTCGATCGATTGGTTCCCAGTCCGTCTCTTTTCCTTTGTCGTTGAAATCTCCGGATCAGAATGCGGCGAGGACTCGCCTCTGTCCTGCCGCTTGTGGTGAGTTTTCTGCTTTCCTTGATAGCAAGCCTGCTATCGATAATATGCTTTAATGTGCTTTTGAAAGTTTAATGTCATTTTCCACCTGAATGATAACGCATATCTCTCAAGCCTTTATATTTCTGTACTGATGTCGTGTCCGTTCAATAATGCAATATTTCTTTTTTAAATTCCATTGCAATTTTGAAAATTTGCTGCTACAACTTCCCTTTCTTCGATAAAAAAATTAAAAATCTTGTTTTAGAACGACTCTTTATAGAATTTTATTTTTATAATAATGTGTATTTTCAAAGATCCGTGTTTCTTAAAAATTAAATTTTACTTGGATAAAAAAGACATTGCTACTAGCATTTAATAATAATCTTATAAATTTATATTATTTTATCAGTTGGAAATTAATTATGAGCAAATAATGGTAATTTAGCGATACTTAACGAAATAAACACTAAACAGTGTCAACTTATGAAAATTATACACGCGAGTGTGTCATTATATACGTAATAAACTTGATTAATACCGAATAATTACATCAGTTTAAGTATTTTTATTTTATTAGAATATTACCTGAAGATCTACGTAATAGCAATGTTCGATAAGATAAATAAAACAAGATACAAAACGAGGAAACGCATACGCATACGCATCGAGATCATACGAGTATGCGATTTTATCAATTTCCCGGAACGTAAGTCTACATATGCCGACCGTGAGAACTTAATTTTGCGACGACGCTCCTTTGTGCGAATCATTGCGTCGCGTGCGGGAGTGCAAAACTATTCATTTGTACGCGATACATCGCGCACTTCGCACCCGGTTTTATCGCGTGTGCGATACGCAATTTTCCTAATTGTTAATCATGTAATTCTCATTTACCAGTTATTACACTAATGCTCGATTGCGTTACGCGTAGGAGATACGATAGAAAATTCATATTTTCGTGAGAAAATCAATATTTTTTTATAGATATTGTTTAACGATGAGACACGTGATATTTCTCGATGGAGAATATGAAACGGGACAAAGCAAAATAATTTATATTTATCAAAATAATTTTAATATTTAATACATAAGAAAATATTGATTACAATACGTTTGTTGAGACGTAATGCAGAAGCCCATTATATAATTCTCTAAATATAATTAAAAAATAGACTTTTGTTAGCTCCTTCTTAATCTCTACACATGGATCTATTACAAAGAGACATACGGATTGCTGTCGCAATCTACATAACACGTAGGTATGTGTTACGCCACTGATTTCGAACCGCCAGAACAAGCTTCCGAAAATTCGCTATCAAAGATCGGCTGTAACACATTACGCACACACATACGCACGATGGCGCCTATCCACTCGACATGCCGCCTCTGCTCTCCTCTCGTAAAAGTGAAAGCGCCGCGTCGTAAGCGCGGCAAGCGAAGGAGAAAATACGCGGTAAGGCTCGGTCGAGCGTCAGACGGAAGGCAGAGCCCCAGGTTCGTCCGCCGTGTATTCCACGAGCGTGGCAGATGATCTCGATATAACTCACTTCATCTTACGAATTTCTTTCCCGTCAGTTTCAAATCGAGTCGATTTCTCTTTTTCGCAAATTTGCTCGGAGTCATCCTTCCTGCAGGGGTTTCTTGATTTTCTATGTAAAACAGTTCTATCAAAGTCCGTTTGACATTAGACAGAAGAAACAAGATTATTATACATATATTAGGAACAAGGCTAAGTTCCTCTTTTAATTTTAAAATGACTTTATTTGATAGAAATTTATGAAAGTTATATGTGTCTAAAAACGTTTAATCATGCATATCTTTTTCGTTACCGTCTCTGATTTGAAATTGTCCAATGTTCGTGTAAAATAATTTACTGCCTGACGGAAGAAAAGGTTCTGGTCGAAAGACCAGTCTCTCTCTTCGAGCCTTTGTTTCGAAGGGACGCGAATGAGGTACATTCCCATGCGCCTCGGACAATCGCGATAGCGATCTTGTCGTCGCTCTCACAATCAGCGGCTCTCTGTCCTGCCAGCACGACATTTTTAAAAGAAGGAAGTAGAAGTGATAGAGAACATACATAGAAGCGTATAGTTTTCGATTCGTCGGTGATGAAAGAGAGAAACGTGCTCGATGAGCACGTTCCTCCCTTGGCATTCTTTCAACCCAATGTGAATTAAAAGTCATCTTAAATATTCTTGTTATAATCTTCTTTCATCTTATAACGAATAATCTTTCTTGCTATTTTGCAATATTATATAATGAACAAATGGAGTTGCACAATTTTTGATAGAACGATGAGCTTTACTGACGTAACGATTATTTCTCTTGTGTGTTACATCTTTGCACATCCCACACACTACTTCTAGATACTTTAGAGTTTTCTTGGCGCGCGAGATATGCTATCTGTGCACTTTCGATTTCACGCGTTATTTATGAAATTATAAATGTAACGGGCGCCGAAGGCGTTGTAAAGCGTGAAACGTTGGACGCGTTGTTTATTTTACGCTGTCCGCATCTCTACCGTGGAAACGCGATGTCGTTTACTGTAACGCGAGGAAACGAAGCCTCTGCAGTAAAACCGGATTTCACGCTGCGCTGGAAATTACTTATCCGGATCGCAGCGATACTCGAGAAGACGATAACTTCGCAGACAGCATTTCATTTACTTCATTTACCTCTCTATCGCGGGACTCCCTCGCCCGCGACCGCGCGCGCGATAACATCTACTTATACATATCGCCGGCAAAAAACAGTTGTTTTTGCAAGCTATACACGCTTTCTCGACCGAATGATCCGTTTGATATTAATTATAGCTGAAAAAGCACATTACAAGAACTGAATTTATAGATATGTGCGATGTATACGCAGAAGCAGGACCTCTGTTTTTGACAAGTAATTTTAAAATTCCATCCGATAAATACATGTAACATTAAAATTTAAAAATAAAATAATTAATAATATCACATTGTTATAAACAAAAATGTTAACGTTACTTTCGTAAATATAAATATCTATAACTTTTCCACGTACTTAATTAAAAGATTTATTAAATCATTTTCTATATGTCATATATTTCAAAATAAGATAATAACATGAATATTCTATTATTCCCAATCCTAAGTACATTACTTCTTTGAAGAAGAGATGTGGCATACGTCACCATGTGTGTCGAGCTGGTGACGCGGCGATTAGATTAGAGACGAGGCAATTTTTTACGCAAATGACAAATTCTTCCGGTGACTAAAAGGAACGTCAGGTTGGCGACATTTGTTTCGTCAGATGATTATGGGTAATGTGAACGATGATTACGGAACGGTGTTGCCTGACCCGAAGATGACGCAAATATGCGAGATGACATAAAGTTGCAACGTGTCTTCCGGCTACTGTCGTCGAGGTCTTGGGAACGTTGTATCAAGGATGCATATTGTGGGAATCTAACGCAATATGTTAATAAAAGTAGCACATGTCGGAACTTTTTCTGGTTTTCCAAATAAAAAATTATGTAAATTGATTCTAAAAGTCTGATGTATGAAACGAGTATAATTTAAACGATAATCTATAAATGCGTGTAAAGTATCCTCTAGTAACTAGAGTCTAGTTGATTGACGCATCCTGGATGATACCCTTGAGTTGTAATTGGTGTAATTAAGATACATTATATTCATGGAAAAGATATTATCATGTGTAATTTATAAATAACTCTTAAAAAACTGCATACAAATTATTTTAATATTATCGTTATATATATGAAGTTTTATAGTAAAAAATGTCATATATTTACGCATATGTGTATTTTTTAATTGTGAAATTGAAAATATTCACGAGTTGTCTTATATTGTTCGAGATAAATTACAATCGAATCAGATTTAGAATATTCTAGGATATTCATCTATATTATGCTGATCGTATCACAAGTATTGATTAACATTAAGGTGTGACGGTTTCCCATAATACATCCTGAATTCTATCTTACGAGGCCTCTTTTACGTATATTGCTCGAAGACAGTTATAAGTTATAACTCTCACAATGCAATTTTCTGCCGTTTATAGCTTCCTCAATGTGTTGCTCTCGAAGATCGCGTGTTATTTATGACTGGCGATTACGTATGGATATAAACAATTATCTATCATGCGAGACGAATTAAAAATGCAAGACTCGTGATCAAGTCCAAAGTGCTTTTCTTAATAATATATTGTTAACAAGTAAAAAATATCTAAAGTGAAAGAAATATTACTCCGGCATATTTTTCTATTTTCTCAAATTTTCAATATTAAAGCTTTTGTTGTAATTAAATCATGTATAAATTAATATTCTGACAATAAAACTTAAAGATCGAAAAGTCTACCATTCGGAGAATTATTTACATAAAGACTCTTCTTGTGTGACAAATCGCAGAGATATCTGGCAGAAGATGGTCTAGGCTTATATGGACCGAATCGCTACCCCTTTACGTCATCCGAGAGGATCGCCGCGGGATCACGTGCGGCGCGTGCAACTATTACGCGTGCCACAAGCCAATAATTTCAGGCCGGTCCGGGAACACGCGTCACGCGAATGTGGAGTAAGTACTCGCGATAGTGGGCGGACGCGGTCTCGGTCGCGGTGAAAAACGATCTCGCGGCTTCTTACGGAGGGGGATGGTCGCGAGGGAAGGAGCGCAGATCCGTCGTGTACGGCGGATCTGGAAATGCAGGGACACCGCGCCGCGCCGGTTCTCAGTCACAGTATCGCGTCCTCTCGGTCCGCCTCGACGACATCGACGCCGTCGATGTCTGGCGTCGACGCTATCTTCTTCCGTTTCTCTTCTTCCGCGGTCTCATCCGGTCCGCGAAAGTGGGTGAATTTTTTTCTCGCTTTCTCTCTCTTCCTCTCGACGTTCGCGAACCTTTAAATGCCGATCTTGCACGCTTTTCTTCTTCCACGGAGATTAGATCTGCGTCGGTACGTCTTGTTATTCGCGTCATAATTAAGGAGATACCTGTATGTGAATTTTAGGTTTCGATTATTTTGATCGAGAAATTTCTTCGTGCAGTTATTCGCAGTGGAGACTGTAATGTATGTAAATGGGCGACTTTTGCTTGAGAAGTAAGTGAACGTTTCGACTCGGCGATCGCTGCAAAAAACGACGAAGAGGAAACTTGAGGAACGCGTATTGCAACTTCACAAAGCACCAGTGACCATGATTTTGCGAACGTGTCTTTGCCTCAATCTCTTGACGGTAGGATTTATGAGTTTGCAGTACATATACGGATTTACATACGGTCTAATTTAAAAATATGTTAATATAATGCAGCGCATTTAGCGGAAAGAAACTTAAAGATGATTAATTTGATTCTGCAATTAATTTTTTATGCACTGTTTATTTTTATATCCACGTGCGCGCATATATCTCAATTACGAGGGTGATCAAAAACAATTAAATCAGCACTTAATCAAAGGCGACATTAATCAATTTGACATTGACATAGACATTGATAAGATCTCTGAAAGCGGTTATTAACCTTTCCGTATATTTGCAAGTAATTAGCTAATTGCCATTGACATTGGAACTCTTCGTTGACGTCACTTCAAGATCCTCGAAAGATTGAGTAAAACGCCGGTCGCGAGCTGGTGATTACTGTCTCTCAAGTCTTCCAATAGTAATGGCAAATGAATCGGCGAAATAGCTACATTACGTAATCTTGCTATTTTCATGAATGTAATAATGAACTTTGCAAAGTAGTATTGACATTGGTAATGAAACTGGACGTTCGCGCAAAAGAAATGATATCCGATTACCGTATAAATACACGAAAAAAAGTGATATTGTATCAGCAGCATCAGTGTAATCAAGATGAAATTTATTGATGCAACATCAATATTAATGAACAAAAAACATCAGATAGTTGTTTCAATAATTTCAATATTTGGTCCAATAATATCCAATTGAATTAACTATTTATCTTTGTAGCAGTCCGTGACGTCGACGTTTAATTGAAGCAACTTCTTTTTTTTTAATTAAACAGTATTTTTCTCCGTGTATAAACTCAATTAATTTAATGAGAATGCAGATCAAAGGAATTTATTAAATACTCGCTAGAAACACATATTAGATATCGGTAGAGCTATATTAAAATCTAGAAAAAATAAAAAATTGCATGACAGATATTTTTAAGAATTCAGGAAGATGAATATTGAACGCACGATTCTCCATCAGTACAATCTTTTGATAATTTACGAAATTGCTCAAATTCACGTTTCACATATAAAAATTATAGCTTTAGAATCTTTAGATTGTTACGAACCGAAGGTGTTTACGTCTGTCAAAGGAGTGTACGATACTTTGCATACATTTAACGGCGACGGCTCGAGATGATTTGCGTAACTGCATTTGCGTGCCGGTAAAACCGCTGATTGTTCCGTACCGTACACTCGTCGACTACAATCTGTCACGCATATATTCACGTCATCGCTCGATCGAAACTGACACCGGCGTGATTAGTGGAAGGCGTTCATGAAAGTCCGACGCCGAGGATGCACTCATGAAAGAGCCACCGGCTTCTATTCCTACTCCGGGAGAGTTCGATGCACGAACGCGCGGTACCGTGAAAATCGCGTGGATAGAAGTGTAAGTAACAGAGGAGGACGTTCTCTCTCTCTCTCTCTCTCTCTCTCTCTCTCTCTCTCTCTCTCTCTTTCTCTCTCCTGCATGGTCGTGCCATCGGGTAATATAAAAAGCGTGCGTGACTATCAATGCAGCCCAGATTCACGTCAATCAATAGGATCAGCTCTGGTTTCCAGAGTAATTTGACAACACTCGACCGTAAACTTAATACTGAATCATTATTGCACACTTGGCGCTTATCGTGGCTGTCGGATCTTAAGTATTATTTGTCTAATGCGAGAATTTTTCAGAATTAGCAATATTTAATATGGTAAAACATGGATGTTAATATTAGCCTACTTAAGAGAGCTATTGAATTTTCTGGGAATAAAACGAAATAATTGCTACTTTTTAAGTCAAGGAAAGTGAAGAAATAAGTCGGATTAAGAAAGGGTTTTTCTTATAATTTAATTGTCGTTAATGTGGATATTAATTAAAAGGCTGTGAGAAAATAAGATCTTAGATATTAATTACAATATAATTAGTATGATAAAAAATTATTTTATCTGATATTTTCTTAATAAAATAATTATAAAAAAATTTATTTTATCGTCTTTATTATTGTAAATTATTCTCAAAGCATATTTTACAATGTCATAATATAATTAATTAAGATAAGCTAATATTATTATCCAACATCATTATCATTTGAATAAGCTAAACATATAAAGAGTATTAAAGAGTACTTACTAAAGAATCGAAGTTTGAAGTATATTATTAATATCGCTAACGAAATAAATATCTGAAAATGTTTTTACATTTGAATAGAATTAGAAATACGCATCGATTATCTTTAAACGCTGAATGTAAATACCGAGAAGAAGTGATGTGAAAGTAAAATAGTAACATAAAACAACTTTAGGTATCAAAGTCATAGTATATTAGAATACGTATTACTAACTCTGCATGCACGATGAGTTACTAAATCGAAAGGGAAGTAACAGGTACACGGAGGTATTTGCGTTTGAAAAGAATTGGGGTACGAGAACCGATCCTCGTGCGGTAAATATCGGAGCGAAACTACGCGAAGGTAATTAATATCGCGCACTCCGAATATCAATTAGCGCGTGTTCGTGCGAAGGCCGCGCGCGATGTGCGCTCACGAAACGCCGACGCACGCTACTCGAATACCAAGTGAGATCGCAAATGAGATCGCGCATTTGTCACGTATCCTCCTTGTGTGACACTATCTGCAATTATGATCCGTAATATCACGATTGTATGCGATATGGTGGGATCATCGCAAAATGCCACCGACGATGATGGCTCTGCGTGCAACAATGTTATAGAGGTATGTTTAAAGATTCGAAGAATTCTTGTAGGTAATAATGCGCCAAGCCAAGAAATATAATACAATTTTAAATAATATTAAATAAACGAAAAATAATATTTAAAAATAGTTCAGTAATCCTATTTGCAAACGTGAAAGAGATAGGTTTTATTCTAGAGAATGATAGTGCGTAATAGAGTAATAGATAAGAAATAAAAGTAGCAGGATTCAAATTATACCACTTTATTATAATTAGCTACCCTATTCATCTTATTTTCATGTCTAATTTAGATACACGTCATACGTTTCTACGTATACTTATATTATTCACGCTCTGCATCGTGTATAATAGCATCGTGTATAATAGCATCGTGTATTACTTATAGTTGTAAGCTTCAAAAATTTGCGTGATTAATTAAGCGATAGAAATGTGTCAGTGCCAACATAATTATCTAAGATAAATCCCAAGAGCAATCGACCGAGAATCTCGTTAATTTCTTCTTCTTACTAGCTAATTACCTCCGCAATTAGCGTAACAATATCCTTTTCCTGTAAGCACCGAATTCATTGTCGGCTACCAATGTCGCCAATTTCCCGGGCGCGCAATTTCATTATAATCCCAGATTATATCACGTGATCAGGCACGTGGGAACCGCGCGGAGCGTGGGTGTTTTTAATGAGAGAGGAGATCGCGCGAGAGGATGGAGAACGGCGGAAGCGAGCGAAAGGAGCCGCGGCCGCGGCGGCTCCTGTGCAAAGGTGAAATCACCGTGACCGACGGCAGTCAGTCGACGGACAATGGACGGTGCAATGATAATTTAGCGAGTTAATCGCGCGGCTTGGACGACCTCGTACAAAACCGCCGGCCGAAACGATGGCTTTCCTTCGAGAGGATGGAAAATTGATGCATGGCGTGGTTATAGACGCGTCAGGACTTTGAAGCTCCTGAGAATTGCCCGCTATTAAGTATGCGACGTGAATAAAATTCGTGTTGGGTCCTTGATACATAACGCAATTTATTCCCTGTCTCGATTGTTTATGATCTCTACTTGGCTCCGCAATTATCCGCATAATATAACTCTTTCGTTGCGAGTTCGAGCGAGGAGACTCTCGTTGCTCTCGTCTTAAGATATTAAATTACTTTCTCATTCTGAGTCTCCGCATATTCAAAAAGAAACAGAGAGAGAAAGAACGGAGAAAGAGAGAGAAAGAGAGAATCAGTTAAACTTCAGTTAACTTTAATTAATATTTATAGACATGACCGGTTTTAACCTTTGCTTAAAATTACTGTAAGCAATAATGAATAACACGTTATTACTTTACGTGTACATGAATAACATAGGTGTATATTTTGCATACGTACTTATACTATGCATACATACTTAGTTTCTTACGGAATTCTGCGTTTATAGAACTAGGCAACTCATCAATGTCTTTCGTTGACTAAAATACGAAGTGTCTATCTTCCGCTTTGACGTCGTTGAAAAAGAAAAATGTCCGCTCGAGAGGAAATTAATACGTACTTGCGAGCACTATAATTTTGACAGGAACAGAAAGAGGAAAAGTATCCAACGTCTCCCCGAAGAGTAAAAGTGAATTGCGACTACCGGAAAGAAAAAGCTATCACTCTACTAACAATAAGCTATATGGATTATGTCATGGAATAGTGCAGTGTTTACTTTTTATGATCTTTTCTCGTTCTCCAAACTACAGGCTAACTACATATCGGGCATACGACGCGTATTTCTACCGTTCGATATCTCGAATTCCACAGGGTGAAATGCAAAGAAACATTTTTCACGGGCACGCAATCATAGACTGATAAAATCGAAAACCAATAAAAGACCAATCGGCAAAGATATCCTTTGAAAAGTTTCACGTCTATAAATAGGGCATTAGGTAGTTAGCATTATGTAAATTGAAAATGCTTAGATATTTTAACAGAACGTCTTTCATATGTAGAAACAAAGCCGCGAGGTCGATTCGTTTCAAGGATATCAACCTAACATTGAGTCCGACTCCTACACCGCGACCATTTTTCAAGTCAAAGTGCCTCGCAGCGATAACACGCGGTGAACCAGTTTCAAGGATACCGAAGCAATCCTGAGTGTGAATTCTTACCGGCAAAGAGATGCAGCAACGTGATGGATATTAAGCTCACGTGCGATACTTGGAAAGGTCCAAGGTCAGCTGTGGCGTGCCTTGACCCTACGTCGTGTCCCATAAAACAAAACTTCACTCGCCAAGCAATTCGTGGAGCTGAGTATATCGCTTAAGGGAAATTTAATCTCTCCTGTCCCAGTACACAGCGCATCTACAAATATCCTCTTCTCATATCCGTCCTCTTCTCGTATTTCTATACTCTATGTAATATTTTATGCGTCGGGAAGCCCGGATAAGAGATTTAAAATTTAGAGAGGAAAACGTTACCCTCTCTCCATTTCCCCAAGAGACGTTATTATTTCACGAAATATTTTCGCTACGTAATGCCGATACATCGACCCTACGCTCGGTTGGTCCAGCATCTCTTAATATGGACCGACGAGAGGCGGACCTCGTGGTCTTGGTCAATCCCACGCAAAATCCGCAACAGAAGGGATAAGTATCTCTTACGTGACCGCCGTGTTTGCGCGCAATGGTACCCCGCTATAAAAGATACCGCGATGGAAAGCACCGCATTCCCCGCGTGGACGGAATTATTGTAGCACATTATAATGTATTCCGGCTAAATAGCGAATGCCAGTTCAGATCGAGGATATTGTCTCATAAATGAGGATTCGTAACGTTTCGATTTTATTTTTTTTACTATAACTTTCTATTATGCATTTCCAAAGCGCGAATAATCATGAATCATGGACCGGCCTGCGGATCTCAGAATTTTTTATGACGATGACGAGGAAGAGCGGAACGTGATTTTATTCACATGGAAATCTCGTTTACGCGTCAACTCGATTACATATATATACAAATAAGATTTACGATATAGCGATACGCGACACGAAGTTGCGAGTTAAGTTATTACGGAGGATTAAGAAAGTCGTTCGACATTGTTAATTGACATATCTATTTTTTACAATGTAATCGATCAATCTTTTCTTCCGATCAAAAGTCATAGTTCATTGCTACGTGTCTTTTGTAAAAAATTAGGTCGCAAGAAGATTTCTTTTTACCGCATATATATGATTGCTCTTGAAAACAACTGTGAGCTCAATGAGAATAATAAAGAAATCTACAAGATGAGACATAGTTTCTTAAGTATGTACCTAATGCGTGCAATACGCAGCAGCGTTTTCCCACAAAAGCCACAACCTGAATTCGCGCAACTGGAATTCAGACATTGCAATTTGCTTTTAATGATTGTAAAACTATCTTTCCATCGCGATGGCGATATATGGCTCGTAAATGAACGGAGTAGCGGAGAGTTTGAAATACTATCGAACGCTGCGAAAAATCCGGTGAAATAAAGTACGTCGTCTAGAGCTCGGCTGGTTCGAAGCCACGCTCGAAGCGGAACGTTCGTCGTCTTCGGGTCGTAACGCCGTAAATGGAGTGATTACGACTGACCGGCGAAGCGGAGTATGCGTCGCCGCGCCTACAAGCAGCCGTATAGATCGCAAAGAAGAAAAGAGACAGGCCTCGTAGTCCGAGAAACGATGCTGACTAATCGTTTGCCAGGGAACACCCCACGTAGCCGGTCACGTTCCTTGACACGGCGTGTTCTTGTTATCGCGGCCGGCAACTTGAAATTTGCGTACGTGCAGATCGTAAATGTAACTTCTTGATCGTAACTGGATTCGTGATAACAACTGGCCAGCAGATTTTTGTACTCTGCAATGAAGAAATAAATATTACTGTATTAAATTAATAATTATATTTTGTAATAGTATTATGTGTTATAAATATTCAATTTTTTAATATAGCTTTTTCAAGCAAAATTTTATTTCTTAGATTTTTTCTTTGAAACGTGACGATAAATGCAAAACAAGAAGCCAAGCTATCAATCGTCCATTTCATCAAATTCACTCTCTATGCATATTTTAATCTCTAATTGATTCTTCACTCATCTTTTACTTATAATAGAGTTAATCAATTCAGCATTTTATTTACGATACATCGAACTGAACAAAATTCTATTTTAAAATTCAAATAAGATTATCTGATATTTTATTGCCCATATTATAGCTTCCATATTAAATAATAATGATTGACGCGGTTAACGCGACGCGGGAAACGATTTAAGTAGGTTTACGTTGCAGGTTTCGGCGCTGTGTCTGACAGCGGACGAGATCGAGGCCCAGAGAAGCGGCTGGAACCTAGATCCCAATACGCAATATCACATTCAGACAGATGAGGGCCCGGAAAGATTCTTTCGCTTTCAAACGGCGAACGGTCAGTATAGGAAAGAGAAGAGATTGGCTGATGGCACGGTGATTGGCACCGAAGGCTGGTTAGACCCTCTCGGATATTTACGATTAAAGGATTACATCGCGGACCACGAGGGATTCCGAATACTAAGGTAATCTGACCGTAAAATTAATGACAAAATTAATATTCGAAATAACGCCGGAATTTAACCAAAATTAGAAACCTATAATTAAGTGCTGAGTAGTGAATTTATCCTTAAAATTCTTTCAGGTCAAAGATGGTTTACGTGGGTAAGGATCGACCTATTCAAGACGCGGTGGCGGAAACAAAGAAGGTACCAGCGCAGACCGGAGTCCTGGCCAGACCCAAAAGGCCACCTAATCCCTTCAGGTAAAGAGTGTGGTTACAAAATCAATTCATTGCGTTATAATATAACTCGTTAGAAAAAGACTAAAATGCACGTTACAAACCAACTCTTTTTAAAAATACAGTACTACAAAAATTTGTAAAAATTATTAACCATTCGTTACAGACGACCAGATCCTAATGCCGTCGTGCCACTGTCCGGCAATGACATCACTTCCGGTTATTATGCCCCGACGACCATCAGGCCCCGACCGATTTTGAGAAATTATTATTCGAATCGACCAGGCTACCCTTCATCTGGACTCCAGAGTCTGGACACCTATCATCGACCAGCTACGTATTACCGCGGATCTACGGCTCGACCACCGATTCAGATTCTCGAAGCTCCTTACGATCCTGCTATCGGAGGTTCCTCCGTCAGGCCAAGCTATCAATCGTCCATTTCTCGAAGCGACTCGGGCGATTACCCGCCGTACGACGGCACTCACACCACGGCGAACGGTTTCCAGTATTATTTAAGAAGGCAGTATCACGAGGAGGGACGGGAGCCCGACGGTACCGTCGGCTCGTTCGGCTACATTGATCCGTTCGGCATCAGACGGGTGATTTATTACAAGACGGATCCGTACACCGGGGGATTCCTCCACAAGAAGAACAATCGATACGTCGGCTTCAACGCGACGCCGTACGATCCGCTTCCGCCTGACCTGTCTAGGACGCGGCTCTCGAGAGCTCCCTCGACGAGCGCCTCGTAACAGTTCCGTCATTGTTCATCGCTTTGCCACGTTGTAGCATCACGTTTTATCGCGAAGAGCTCATCATCCGATACCGCGTCGACGCTGGATTTCGCTACGCTGGACGGCCTTGGTTCGACTCGATGATCTCGATAGCGAGACCGCTCGTCGAATCGAACTGCCGCCTGTTGTCGATGTTCTCTTAAGCAATCGCCGTTGATCATGAATTTTCCGGTCGGGATGAACGTTGGCGAGAGGAAGAACAATGATGAATAGAGACGGTACGAATACAGAGATCGATGCTCTATATTCCATGGAGGAAGGCTAAAGATTCTCGATCACGAACGTTGCTTATATAATATATAGATATAACGTTTCTCGAAGTGCCACGACTGATATTTTTCCGATGTACGACTCCGTTGTGTCAGCATCGCCAACGGTTCCCAGTATTATCCGAGATGATATAACGTTACGAGGAACAAGGGCCGATTGAATCAGGAGACGATCGAAATGCAGCGGATAAGAAGATTCCAACGGAGGGGAGATAAGGATTACGCGAGATTAACACAATGACTTTTCGTCATCGAGAACCGAGGCGGCGGCGGCTTGCTTCCTGATTCGTCGTCCTGCCTTTGTTCTGTTATTATCGCGAGCAGATGATCGGGTACCGCCTAGAGACAACGTTAGATGCCATGCTGGACTGTAACTCAGTTTTCAGGGAAGCGCGGTGGGACTTCCTTGAAAAAAAGAAAATCGTCGGACAATGTTCGCCAATCTTTTTCCACTCTTTCCAGTTGCGTCACCGATCTATGAAACGTGCGAAGACTCGCGGCCGCCATTGTCCTTGCGTGTAAGTTTCTTTCGGTAATCTATTTTCGCAGGGATACTTTAGAAAGTAGTTATTCCCATTCAAGATGTAATCAAAATACATATACAGTTCTTTTTCTTTTAATATCAAAATTTTTTAGAAAAATTTTATTGGAAGTGATTGCTTATATATGTAGATTATAATCAAAAAAATTCTGCATTTACTATACTTTTTCCACAATCTTTTTTATTTGGCGAATATTGACCTACGACAAAGAAAAATCCCACCTATCGAATCAAAATAGAACGGCCACTTTGGTGTGAGCGGATCGGACATTAACCCTGCAGTGTACTATTTTCTTTACTTACCAGCGACACACCACCAGCGAAGTATCACAACTTTATTAGTTACGAAAGAACTGTGTTACACCGTAGGGTGCACTGGTGATTTGTATCGCTGCCGAATCACGTCTTAAAAATCTCTAATGCGAGAAACACAGTGATTATGCAAGCATGGTATTGTTGTACGTTGCAGGGTTAATTCAGCGTGAGCCGCAGATCCGGAAATCTTAATAGCTTTCTATCGCCGATTCTGCTGACGCTAATAGTAGTAGTTTCCTTCCTAGTTTATAATTGCGCGTCCGCGGATACTTTTCACGTACTAATTTCTCGCGGCATACCGGAAGGCTATCCGCTCGTGCCAAAAGACGAAGGGGGCCGCATAGAATTAGTTAATCGTTAAGATAAACCTCGTTACGTCGCGACAATGGTGCTGATTGTTAAGTAAAAGCGGATACACCGCGCACTTTCCGTTCTTTTATGGCGATGAGAACCGGGCCGTTACGCACTGTGCGCCTAAGTCAATTGCGATTTTCGGATAAAAGTCCTCCCTCCCCCCGCGAATGACATTACAACTGTCCGCGTAAAGACAAGAGATATGATCTGTGCGTAAGGAATATCATTTAATGCTTAACTTATTTTACAAGTAAATGTGAAAGCGAACGATCGCTTGAGCGTAAAATGTTAAAAAACATGTGATATCAGATAGTTTACATAAAAGCAGTAAACAAATAAAATTATATTTAACACCGAAATTGTTGTTTCACCAGGAATATTTTGGTAAATACAAAAGAAAGATTACTTTAATTATACTTCCGAATAAATTAGTATTCAAGATAACAATTTAACGCTTTTAGCATTTGATTCGGTATATGCAACTTTAATCATGCACATCTCATATTTTAAAATAAAATAAAAATGTTAATATGATATTAAAATTATTTATAAATGTCGTATGTCAATGAGTTTTATAGGGATTATCGGATTAAAACTCATTTTATGTAGAATCGGCTTTTCGCTGCAACGAACTAAAGAGAAATTTCCAATTTAATCAAGCTATAATACCTGACTTGGCTTTGATAATATATATTTTATATGGCAATATTTTAACGATAAAATAACATTTTAAAAATATTTAAGTACCTAAAAATCTATTTTTGAGAATTTATTCTTGTCTTAGAAATCTACAAAGTTTTTCGTAATTATTTCCAAATAATTGTCAATGATTTTAAGCGTTCGTTATTTGTACCATTGCTTGGATTGCAAGGAGCAGTATTGGTGATCCCATGTCGCGTAATCGTAACAGTGCGACGTGCATCCAGGAGCATCGGCATCCGCTTATCCGATTATCGTACCTCATTCAAAGTTTCACCGGCCTTGACGCGCTACCTCGTGAAAAGTTTCACCGGCCTCGGAGAGTGCGCTCTCTTTCTTTCCTCTCCGAGAACGAAGACTGATGCCCTTATAGATTTGTATATGTACTCGAGACTAACAATAAAGACGCTTCGCTCCGTTAAACACACGTTTATCCTATATATTTTCTTTCCCCGATCAAACCCGAACGCAGATCTCTCGGCGTTTGTAGACCGTGATAATTCTTCATTCCATGCAAGGTTTATTGGAGTATCTGCATGCTCGCATATAAATTTATACACGCATGAGAATACACGCTCGTTGATGTATGTAATCGGTGACGATAAGAAATCGATGTGCTTATCCGGGCAACGAATTATTTGATTCCTTTCGCCACGCGCCGCCATATACTGATTCTTATTTCCTGTTTTTATCGCTCTTTCACCGATCATATATTTAATAAACATCTATTAAAATTATATTTTTTACTTTCATAAATAATACATTTCTTTACGATAATTCAGAGATGAAAAATAATTAAAAATTAGAGAAATCGTGGAATACAAAATAAAATGCTGTACGAAGAATCAACACAGCTAAAATATAAAAATGTAGGTGCTCTAAGAGAAGAAAACGTTTTTCTCTTAAGTGTATAGAGAGAAGCGTACTATAAAAAGAAGCTATCGAGCAATTGTATCAAAGTTCTAAGTTCTCGCACTAAAAACAGAAATGTTCTACGGCGAGGTTAAAGATAACAACGCCATGAATGGGCGTAGACTCGATTACGAGTAGATTAGTTCGCTGGATATGGTATACTCCCGTGACATTCTTCTCTATCGCGACACAAGAAATGTCAGTTCCCACCCGAAGAGCACAATTACGCGGTGGCCGACGCCGCCACAGAGAGATAGAAGGAGATTAATCATTAATGGTGCATACGAATGCCAGGATCTCACGTTGAGAAAGGATCGACATGATTAACGGTGGAAGGACGAAAGAGCGGAGTCGAACTTACCAATGTTTCTTACTATAAATGTACATAGAATGGAGAATGTATTTGGAGCGCGAGGGGATAAAGTAACTTAACAACTTAATTGCTATTTCTTAATGACGGTACAATGCTGCGAATACGTTATATCGCTGAAGCACCGACGGGAGCTTGCTATTGGTACTTTCTGTTATTGTATTCATCCCGCCTGTCGACCTGCTGGCTCAGTGGTTGCTGTGGTTTTTGGGCTGCTGCGCGAGCTTCTTCCTCCTAGAAGATAAACATACCGAGTTTTTGTAAACTGTTCTCGATACCAACTGATACTATAAATTAGGCTTTGTTGATATTAATTATTTTCATAAAATTAAAAAAACATGTTTTTTTTTATTGAAAAATATGTTTTCTTTTGTCGAAAGTAACGCTAGCTTGATCAAGCGTTAAACATACTGTTATTGTCTGCCATTATACGAGAGAATTTTGTGTTTCTAGAAAATTCTCCATATCTTTATTTTCAACATCATTTCCTTTTATTTTCAAGTTTTATTCAAAGATTTGCATTTGCAATAATATATAAATTTAAAGTACGATCAACGGGCTCATTTGATGACGGTAAAGCAGTTATTATCACGATCTATGAAACAGCTTTAATTAGATGCAGATATCTCATCACGGATGTCATATTTTCTGCAGCGCGTAGATAAGAGTAATTTTCGACGAGTTAAAGAAGAGAACCGATAGCTATTGAGAACCGACGACATAGTGATTAACGAGAATCGAAAGGAAATGGCATGCGAGTAGCTACCTTCTTCCTTCACTTCGCGCGGGTCATTCATACCATATAGCGGTCTTTAGCCTTTGCATCGATATGGATCGCTATCACGATTTCGCAAGTGCGCTCGTCGTACATAGATAACTGAATGGCTTTTCGCAAACTCTGCTTGGAAACCGTGACCTATGCTAGCTGTGGCGAAACAGAAGTCCTTCCTATAAGCTCGCGGAGAACGTCTACCATAAAGGTGAACATGGACGTGAACAGAGGTGATAAGAAGAGAGATGAGAGAGGAAGAGAATAAGTGGGGATAATCGAGGACAGAAAACTGTGAATGGACTGTAATGTGCAATGAAGTAGTAATATTTTATATACTATTACTCCGTCACGTAAATCTTGAATGAGTCTGCTCTTTTAATACTTTTATATTTAATAAAATCATGTGTAATCTCTAAGATTTCTTTAATAGAATTTTAAACGTCGGTATCTGTTATAAAATGCGTATTAATGTGGATTATTTATTTCAGACAATCCACACGAATTAATATGTTAATAATTTCTTAATGTTATCTGCAACGAGAATAAATAGTCCATGCTATAATGGATTAAATATATTTTCGAGTGATCCTCGTACAAATTCTACCTTGGACTAGTATATTGCAAGTAAAACCACTTTACTGAAGCACCGTTAATTAAATATCCATAGTGTGGAATTTCATGGAAATCGAGTGGTGCAACTTCTATAAAAGTAATCGTGGCGAGAGGATATATAATGGGGGTTGGACGGAACAGGAAAGGTCGTGAGTACTGAGTATACTTACCTCTTGCTGACGAATACCCGCGTAGATGAGGTCGAGGCCTTTCTGGATCTCCTCGCTAACGGGCGGTGGCGTGGGAATGTGATCGCCCTGCGCGTGAAAGCCGGTCTCGTCGGCGGTGTAGTGAATGGTGATCAGCTGTCCCTCGGGACTCGTGTACGAGAAGGTGCCTTGCTGCACGATCGCCTCCGCCCGGTCTTCACCTTCGCCGATGGTCTTGATGTAGCCGCTTTCCTCGGCGATGATATTGTTGCCCGTTTCGTAACTGCGGGAGTCAAATTGCCCCGGGATGTTAAATAATCAATTGCGCAAAAACGGTCCAGAAAGCCGATCGGTCCGCGTTACGTAATGTTAAAATGCGCGCTGGCGAAGTTCGCACGGATTCGAGGCATCGGATAACGCCTCGGTCCAATATTGCGTCAATACTTTCGGGACCGGATTACATGGAGTTCGCGTGACGAAGCAGGTGATACGATTATGTGGAGCATAAGATATATGTTGGATCGCAAGCAAAATTTTTTTGCGCGCGTGACGTAAAGGCAAGATCGGAGAAAGATTTTTTTAAATATTTGAAATATTATACATGTATATACAATACTAATATTTATCGCTTCAAAAATTTGTATCAATAAATATAGTTAGCATTATTACTATAATAATTTAAGAGATTTTTAGATCTTTCTTTTTAATTGTATTGAAAATTTATATAATTACCTGGTCTTGTAAGTTCCATCGTGTTCCTGCTGCTTGTTCCAGTGCAAAATTGGAATGGGTGTAGTGCTTGTAGGTCGTCTGCTGTCAACCTGATGTTGTCCATCATCCTGCTGGTAGTTGCGTCCATGGTAATTTGAATCTTGCGCCACCGCCAATCCCAGAATCATTGCTAACGCCTGAAAAATTACAGATGTTAGTTTTCCTCTGATTAGTAAATGCCTTGATTGAGATAAATCTCGAGAAAACGAATGTTTCAAAATGCGATTACAAAATGTGTGTATGTCGTTAGGCGTTATTATATCATAAGATTCGGATTACGTCAATTTGTTCCCTTTCTAATCGACACCCTGTGACTAGATCAACGGGTAAAATGATCGATGAGAATAAACGCGGAAGAGTGTAACACGAATCCCAAAGTGGATTTATCGGTTTCTCTGCTACGAAATCGGGCGATGCGCTCTCAGGAGATGAGTGAAAGTGAGAAGCAAATGCCAACGCGGGTCATTTAACTCCTGACCCGCAAACTCGCACAGTTGGGCCCGTCCCATTTCATCCCAACCTACCGTGAACCCCTTCTATTCTTTGATATCGCGTTGCTTGTCCCGTTGCGATTCGTTCGTCTATCAATCTAATCGTAGATTTATTTTATAACGATACTGTTTTTTTTTTTTTAATTCTATTAAGTTTTATGATCAACTCTCAAAATGATTGATCCTAAAGCTTAATAAAATTTAAGAACGGAAAGAAAAAATAATAATTCTAATATAACATGCACAAATAATGTTAATTATTGTATTTTTAAAGAAAATTATCTTGTAAATGTGTATGTGTGTGTGTTTAAATATTCGAGAAAGTTCTGAAAAGTAAGGTATAAACTGATGTCAGCCTGTGGATTATGTAAAACTTCAGGTTTATAATCCCACGCAGTTCTTGTTTCGTCACTTCAACGGTGCATCTCACGCATATAAATTAATAAATGCGGGTTGTCGCAATGTATCAATGACAATGGTGGCTTCTTAAGATTCTACAAGGGTCACGTTTTTCGCTACCATATCTTTTGTCAGACAATTTTTCTTAAATATTAAACAATTTTTTTTAATTTTTTAACTAATTTTGGATTTAGTAAATGTGATTAAGTTTAACAAATAATAATGAATAGATAAATAAATGATAATAAAAAATCAAATAAATTACTTGAAACCATGGTATCTTAATTAACTTTATTTTAATACAAATTCACTATCTCTTTTCAAAATTACAATTAAAAAAACTGAAAAAATTAAATAAAGTATTAATATGGACGGTTATTTAATATTAGTTATTAGTAATTTAATATTAGTTAAATCAATTATTAACATTTTTGTAATGCAAACATGTAATACAGTCGAGAACGTGACATTATTTTTTCAACCCCGCAGTCACATCGCGCTTAATTGACGTTTCAGAAGACAACCCTTCCGGTTACTTACCACGTATTTCATCCTGACTCGCGAGATGTGCACCTCGTCAGTAAGACGGATCGACGTAAATGTGAGACGGGAGTATGGTGGCAAACGCACGGAGATAGTCGCAAACGAACAAGATCGACTGCGATTCCAGGAGAGGAAAGAAATCCCCTTTTATACTGACTCTCACTTTATCCCTACTCGAGGAGGCAATGGGCTTCGAAAGATGCTTCGTATGCTTTATGGCAAAGAGCCTACGTATCTGTCGGAGTAAATGCGTGTGTGGGATAGTCGCTTCCTTCGTAAGCGTCCGTGTCGAGAGTCGAGACCTCCCTGAGATCTCGATACCAAGAAGAAGTCTTGCTCCGATTATCACATCGACTATACATGACCTTAGTCTTGGCTAAAATCTCTGTCGCTCTTTCAATAACTTTCTAATGATCACCATTGTTTGCAAAAACTTGTCGCGGTTGATTTTATGCATGATAAAACTAATTAAATCAGGTTCAGGTGTACTAATTAATGAGTAATTCTATTCATATCGCTTCGTTAATCTAATATATGTGCTTCGTAAAAGATAATTCGCGATAATTCTAATAATTGTATATTTATAGTTCACGAAAAAGTGTACGTAATAATAAATAATACACATATGCTTAATGATAAATAATAATTTCCACATAATATTAAAACGTGAGTCTTTCGCGAATTCAGTTACTTTTTCACATCATCGCAGATGATTCGAAACTTTCGTATCGCTTCGCGGAGTCGGACCTCCCGTTCGGGTCCACGTAGTTTCGTAGTTTTACGAATTATGAGACCAGCAAAACAATAGGCGAAAAACACATTCTAATATGCATACTTACATATGCATCAGAATGCGCGTAATAATGCCATCGCAACAACCCACGATCAATAGCCGGGGACTGCTCTTCCGATTAGCGCAATACGCTTGTTCTCGCGCGGCCTTCGGATTGCTCTCCAGCGTTTCTTTCCATGTTATTAAGAAAACCAAGAACATGAAGTTTTCGCGACTTAAATAATAATTCTGTTCCCACACAAAATTTGCAAATAACGTGAATAATAGTTGGAAATTAATTGAGCTAATATTTATAAAAATGGTTTTAGTCCTAGCAGTTGCGCATGAGCGTGTGCGTGTGATGATTTATTGTATATTTATGTATTGCAAAATAAATAACACCGAGCATTTCACTTCAGCATTTGATTAATCAGGATTTTGCTGTGAAGGTGAAAATTAGCGAAAGTAAAGCCGGTTAGATTAGTCACGTACATAAATTATAATTGGGAGAGCAAGTCATCCAATTCCAAAAATCATGCGCATCGTAATGTTATGCATTATCCAAGTTTTGCACTACACAACTCTTGCGGAATTAATTTTCTAATAAGGTTTAATTATTTAATAGTAAGATCAGTATGCCTTCTGCTGGTTTTCTTGCGCTTTGATGTTCGAAGGCGTGTAAGGAAGACACCCCGAGATTAAGTATTGCGCAAACGGATAGATATATGCTAACTACTTTCACGCAGAGCCGGCGAGGAGCCGTTGACTTCCGACGTGACATGAAATTCGCATTCTTATGCCTAGAGGCATTTCTCGAATATTATGTACGTCCAATCAAACATAGCCCGCTGTTTTTTACAGGTAAAGTCTGACGAGCGCATCTTTCGCGTAGGACGTGGTCGCGGATGAATCGATCATCGATTATCGCAGAATGTCAACTGTGATGTAATCGTTATACATATATGTATTATAATACTTAATGCCAGGTCAATTACGTAACGGTAATCGCCGTTACATCGAATGTGGTGTACATTAAATGTACCACCTCATTGTGTAATTATTGCTTCATTACGTGGCAGTTAAGCGAGAGAAAAAGGTTTTATACATGCCGGCTGAAACGTGATTACGATAACCGTATAGAGATGCAATTGCGAAATTGCTTTAACCGTTTACTGATCTTTCGCGTGGATTAACGCAGTATTGAAAAGTCGCGGTGCACAAGGACATTTTATTATCGGAACAGTGTACACACATGATCGGGACATCACAAACGCTTGCATCCGTGTGTGCTCGCGTGACTTCTGCAAAATATCGTTAAGATAAATACATATGTTAACATATTAAGACTATAATCGTCTCGTACACACCTTGCTTACCTACTTGCTATTCACGATGCAGGGCAAGGTTGCTGCGACGGCACTAAAATGTAATAACAATATAATTGCACACATGTCATTATGTATAAAAAAAGATAATATTAAGAAGATTAAAAATTTCTTAAGGATTTACTTCCGTAGGTGTTGGCAGGAGGACAAGAAGCGGAACAAGGTGATGGCAGGGGGACGAGCGTTCCAGGCGGGATATAGCTGTCAAAGAAGATATTGATGCATAAATCATGAAATTTTAAATTGATGAGACACGCGAAGACGTACAGCATGAATCGCGAGATTCTAAATTGCTAAATAGTCAGATAAAGAGCGAGGCTTGAACCTTAGATTGTACGTGGTATTGTCCTCCATGGGATTGACGGGTGAATAATAGGGCGTAGGTGCAGCCCATGGTTTCTCGGCCTGATCCGCTGGCTCTACCGGTTGATAACTCAGTCGCGTCGTGGTCTCGGATTCCATCGGAACATCGGACGGCTGATACTTGCGTATGGGCGCGTACGATTTAATAGGCAGCAGGCATTCGTGATCGTTCGGTATATAAGACAGTCTATGAGTCGTGCAGGCTGCAATAATCATATGTTAGAAATGAAAAATCGCAAACAGGATAATCAGGCGGCGCGGCTAAGATTTCTTTTTTGAAGGAGGAACAGCGCGCTCTCATCTTCGATGAAGAAATAGTACTTTCTCCGACCGACGAATATGATTGTAAGATCAAATATGCAAATTATGATATTATTTTATGTATGGCTTAACACTTACATTCCAGCGGCAAGGGCGAGAAAGTAAGATTGTTCTCGGGTCGAACCTCTGTTGGCGGCATCACGCGCTTCCAGGTGTAGTCGTGCTTCTGCGTAGTTTCATCCTGCATCGGTCCTCTGCCCAACAATTGTCGGTCGCAAGGCGTAACAGGCGTTTCCGGTTTGACACACCAGTTGCCCAGGAAACTCAACTGCAACGATTAACGAAATCTTGAACGTTGATTTTAATTGAAGTCTATTACTTATCTAAAAGAATACTCGTATGATTTAAGTTATATATAAATTTCTATGATTAATAGCAATTGTCCCGTCTCGAACGATGGTCTTGCGATGTTGAAACGACGAAGCCGGTCGACGTCCTCGATCTTTAAGGGAATAGTCATTGTTGTCTCAATTCGTTACAATAGCGTTATGGCTTGGTAGAAAGAGGACTATCGAATCAATCTGCGAGGCGACGCAACGATTGTTAGGCAATTTGAGAAAATTATCTCGTAACCGCCGCATAATGCACTCGAGAATGTAACTATCGACTCGAATTAGTGTATCATCCTCGAGTCGAATCCACCGTGACGGTACGATTCAGCGTTTACCCGATTGACGGTGTCGTGGGAGAGTGGACACGGCGAGAAAATCATGTTGCTAGGCTGGCGAATGGGATCCGGTGGCTTGTCACCGCCACACCCGAAATAGCTAAGTCGGTACGTGGTATTATCGTCGAAGCAGCAGCCGGCGTTTAATAAATTTTCAGTGTCATCGTGGCTGTAAGGTTCCGGACGCTTCTCGCCACAGTGAGGCCAGTAACTCAGTCTGTAGGTCGTACATCCGTCCATCGGCGTCACCGGGCGATGGTACTCTCCTTTTTGACTCCACGGTACCTCCTCCTAAGAAAGCAAATAATTATATGTATTTAATATTTATAAAAAAAAGAATTGTTCTTTGTTTAAGTCATTGAATTACTAATGTCATGTAGAAAATGCAAAGTAGATATCCAAAAAATTATTTAAAATATCCATAAATTAAAATAAAAAACTTAAGAAATAAGAACAAAATAAGTTTCAAAATTTTTATTTGTAACTCACTTTTACAGGAGCCTCGTTTGGCCAATAGCTAAGCCTGTACGTCGTACAACCTTCCATCGGTGTATCCGATTTGACATATTTTCTAATGGGCGCATAAGATTGTATCGGAAGCAAGCAGGAGGAGTTGTAGTAGCTCAAGCGATACGTCGTATCATCTGTCTCCCAATGTTGTTGTTAATTATAATCAAACAATATTTTTTACTATGCACTTTGTTTTTTAAAATTAAGATTAAAGTAGATAGATATTTTTATTTAGCGATAAAGATTACCGGACAAAGCAGCACAGGGAGGATACAAATTATTTTGCGCCTTGACGATCTCAGGTCGTCTCACGCTTTTCCACGAATAATCATGTTTGTGCGTTGTGACATCTTCCATTGGACCTCTACCCAGCCACTGTCTGTCGCAGGGTGTTATTGGCGGATCTGTTTTTACGCACCAATTGCCAAAGTAGCTTATCTGCAAGAGCATTCAAACTCTAGACGACGAATTATTAAAAAAAAATTATTTTAACAAAATGTTTGTCATACTTTGTGCGTCGTTTCATCAGACATTGGCGCGTCACTGCACGTCAGATTGTCTTCAGGACGAAAGGATTCGACAATGGCGCCGGGTCCTTCCCAATAAGAGAGACGATATGTTGTGTCATTTTCCATCGGTACGTTCGATTTCCAGTAATACTAAAGAGGAAGATAGCTTAACAACAGTAAATGAGAATATAGAACAAAAGAAAATATTTTTGGAATACTAATTTCATCAGAAATATGAAAGAATAAAAAAATTACAGTAAACGTCAAAATATTCTTTACTGAATAGTCTTTGAATTACTTACGCGAACAGGTGCGAAGGATTTTGCTACCTCTGGTTGAACATATTTCTGTAAAAGTTATTCGGTTTCTAATTTATGTCCAAATTGAATAAATAAATACAATGGCATAAATGTAAACATTAAAAATTATTACTCACGTAGCATGTAGGTTGCGGTGTGCAACAGCAGCAGCAGTTGCAGCATGCATCGTGGCCCAACTAAAACGCGTTTATATTCCAAGAAAAGCAAATAACACATAAATTGCGAAATTAGTAAAACATTAAACACAATTGTCATAATAATTTTTCCTTTTTCTTTTTTCTATCTCAAAGCTCACCCGAATTTTATTTTTTGCCTCAATAATCGACTGCTGCGGCGTTCGTTTAGGCCTACAACGATAAATTAGTCAGTATTTACTTTAAAAGAACATGTACTAGGTTTTGAATAAGGAAAAAAATATGCTTAGTGTCAAAACCAAATGTCAACAAGTTATTGAGATGTCAGCTTACGGATCAGGGGGACAGATTTCCATGATTCTTGAAATAGTTTGTGTCAATGCCGATATATCACTTCGTATATCATAGAAATATAGCAGAAAAATTTAGTTAAATATAATTTTAAAACGTTTTAATCATAATTTTTAAACGTTTTGAATGGTAACGAAAAAGTGAAACGGCCGAGTCGCGTGACGTTATTCATTATTACTTTGAGATATGCTGATAAAATTTCCAATTAATGGAAAACAGATAAATTCGTTTTATTAAAGCCCGTCTTCGATCTATGGCAAAAATTTATTTGAATTTTAGTTTAGATCAATAGAAAATAATATAATTTATTTAGATAATTGATTAAAATTTCTTAAGAAAATTTCCTTAGTCGTAGGAATTATTAAGAAATATACAGTGGGGTAAAAAAAACTCATTCAGAATTTATTAATTAAATGTGTACAATTGTAAGTTCACCTAAATCGTGTAAAAAACCAAATATAGACAATACATATTTTATTAGTAAGAAATCAGCCATTGATTTTGTGTTATAAGAGCTACGCGCAATTCATTAAAAAACGCTGAAACGAATGACTAAACGCGAGAATAAAATAATCTTAATTCTATAGCCTAAATTAATAAATTTACATGCGCACGATTAAGATCATGTACTTAATTACGTGTTATGAAATTATGCTATTCAACGAAGAATCATTAGTTTCTTTTGATTTAAGTATCAACATACATTGATACGCTACTCAGAAAGTATCTGTCAAGATAACGTAAGAAGAAAACCGATATGAACAATCGCGAACGAACTTAAGTTAACGTAAGACCAAATCGTTGCGCTATTTCCGGAGAATGAGTGGTTGCGACCGCGAGTAAAAGTGGTATATCGGCTGCATCGAGATCAAGAGCGTTCATTAAACTGTTCACATTGGCGTCAGACTCTTCCATGGACATCATCATTTCCGCCAAGGCTTCGCTTCTCAACCATAATTCCCTCAGTTTAGCCTCCAAAATCGCTATGCACTGAAACATCAGTTTAACTCATAATATTTATCTATTTACAAAGAAAGATTTATATAATATAAATAGATAGTGAAAGATTCGATTGAATTGAGATAGCAAAACACTCACATGAGTAGGAGAGTGGTATTTTCGCCATACATAGGCGAAGGACTCTAGCATATTTGATACCAGACGCGACATACCGACTGGTAGTGGAGGACTTTGCCACGGCGCGTTATTCGACAAGATTCCGACGTGCCATGTGTCCAAGTCGGCCAGCACGCAGAGTGCTTCTGCGACCGGTTGATCGATCGTCGGAAAACGAGCACTGGCCATAACTTCCTCTCGCATGTACGACCACCATTTCTCCTCCTCAATCTCGGGGTTGTCTTTCTCATCCTCTGACAGCTTCTTCTTTTTTCTTCTCTTTTTTTTCTTAGTTACACCCTGTAGCACCAAACCCCACGTATAGCCTGTACTTAAAATGTTACTTTCGTCATTCGTCATCGTATTTCGCATGAGAGTTCTCGTGAAGCCCACTTCTTTAATTAATCCAGTTTTAACCTGTGAAATTTTCCTCGATCTGTAACAATAGTTATTGAATTATTTTAAATCAAAGTGAGAAAGTGACAAAAATAAAAAATAATGAAAGTTAAGATAGAAGATTAACTAGATTTCTAAATTGATTTTTAATTAACACAGTTCCGTGATTTTATCATAAAGAAATCAATATAATTGTTTTTTTAAACAGACATTATAGGTACTGTATTTCAACATACACCGACTGTGGCATTGGCAATTCCACGACGCTGTTGGCTTCCATCAGAGCCTCAAGACTGTTGGATCGAGACAGTCTCATGGTTCTGCCACCTTCGGAACTTCCGCGCAACACCTCCGTCGCGTTTGTCGGTGTCTCCAACACCTGCTTGCTGCTGTCATAATCTTGTGAGGCAGCGTATCCCTGACCGTTGCACTTTAAACAAAAACCTATAGACCTCGTCCCCATGCTGGATGCCGCTCCCGGAGGCGGCTGTATGCTCTTCGACGATTCGGGAAAGTTTCGCTGGATGATCTTCCTCAGTACGCCTTCCGGAAGTTGCGCAGATGTGCTAGGCAGTCTCGTGAAGGTGTAAGAGCATTGACAGTTGTTGCCGAGACGCGGTCTCAACGGTAACTTTGCGGGCTTATCTTCCCCACCGAGAGTGAAGAAGACCTGCGATTCCTTAAATTCGTCGACGAATCCACCGTTCGCATCGAGCGGTAACTCAGGTCTGCTGTAGAACATCTTCAGCGGATCTATATTGTTATTCAGCCGATGATGCAGTTCAGACTTTCCAGTCGCGAGACTCTCTTCGGTATGGTGAGCGTCCAACTTCTTCTCGAGGCCTCGCAAAGAAAGCTGCGGGAAATTTTGCGGCTGACATCCCTTTGAAATGATATCCTCCTGCGAGTCGATCTCACTAACGATTATTTTCACTTCGCTCGACACTTTGAAATTTTTCTCCTTGTCTTTATCCGATCGATCCTCTTGCAACAGCTCGTATTTCTCGCTCTCGTGATTTTCGCGCGATGGAAATTCTTTCGTTGAAAACTTGAGATCTACCGGTGGTTCGGTCGATTTCGTCATAAGCGTGTCAAGGCCGGATTTCATGGTGCCGCTACGCTTCAGGGGACTGACGGATCGCGAGATCCTCGGCCGTTCTGCCGGATATCGTGGAGTGCATTGTACGTTAACATCGCCGGTTCCGGTTTCAGGCGATTGTGCCGACTTGCGCGACGGTAAGACGAGCGATTCGCGTCTACGAATCGAGGTGTCTCGATCGTTGAACGCGCACGTCGGTCTCCTGTTACCGAACAGATACGGTCGTTTGCTGCGAGCCTGCTCCAGCATGTTCGTCGCCATCTGCACGTCTTGCTGTGATGTGCAACGGTATTCCTGACTTTTCCGTATTATCCCACTGCGGATGAAGTAAGACAAAAACGACAGGACGGAATTGATCAAATCGCTTTTTCGAGGATCGCCCGCAATTACGGTATGCGACACTTTCACGGGGTTGCCTAGCGCGCCATACAGGTCACCAAGTTGTGCCCACAGTGGATTGCAAGAATACCAGCTACCCAGCTTCTCGATCTGAAAATAGAAATAAATTATCACTAAGATTTTAGTAAAGTCTCACATAGAATTAGTAACTAATATTTGACAAAATATCGACATAATTTAATCAACTTTATTATATATATCAAAACTTTATAACTTAATTAATTATTTAATTAGGTTTTTCTTTTTTAATATGCTTCATGTGTTGCTAATAAATTTTTGAAAGATTCTGTTAATTTTATTCTACTGATCATGGACAGTTCAATCAGACACCGTATAATTTCTGTATCTAGTTCCAAAATCCGTATCTGCTACAATTATTTAAACTCACCATCTGCCGATCATGCGGTGACAGCACGGTGTACACCCAGCCGAGGTGATACGTTAATACAGCAGTTACCACGGTGCTTAGGAAACTGAAAGACGGTGAAATAAATATCGGGACGTTTATTCAATCCGATCTGATCTACGCTCCTACACTCACAAATTTGTAGATTTCGTATCGATCTCGTCGAATAATTGACACATCTGTTGCAAACTGCGATGCAAGGTATTCGTCGTCTCATTCACCGTCACGGAGTTAAGCAGAACGTCGTGCCACAGTAGAGGCGTGCGCGTGTTAACGTCGACATCAAGAAGTATATGCAACAACGAAATGACAAATCGTGACGTCGCCCAGCACATTCTGTCAGTCAACTGCATCCTGTTGCAGTTGGAACCGTTGATATTGCTCATTTCAATGCAAAAATATCTCAAACGATCCAGCATCCCTTCTAGGAGAGCCATATGTTCTAAAAGCCTCGTCTTTATCTGGCTGTAAATTATACATATTTTCCTTCTTAAAATTATTAATTTTTTATAGTCTAAAGTACCTACATATATTTATATTTTTTAAAAAGGTCTAAAAATCTGACGGATTAAATAAACAAAATCAATTTATCTCGTTAATAGACAACTGTAATTTCAATTCGGAGCGAATACGAGCCTAAGGCGCGGACGTGCGTTAAATGTTACTTTATTTTTTATTTTTTCTTTCTCGCTTAGAAAAAATTAGCTTTTATTTCTTTAGACATAAATCGGCAAAGTTTATATTTAAAATCACTATGCTTATATTTAGATGCTTTTTTTATTTCAATCAAAAAACGCGTAAGATAATTCTATACCTTTCATGGCCCTGAACCAATCGCACTAACATCGTCAAACCCAGCCTGGTTTTGTGTCGCTTCGCGTGTCCGTCACGCCCGTCACTTCCGTTCTCGTTCCAGTGCTGCATCCCGAAGGCATCGTCGGAATCCAATCGTCCGAGGGAAGTCGAGACCACCCTCCACCATCTTCTGCGCAAGCTGGTGAGACTGCCGATCCCGGACGATCCGTTACTCTCCAACGATTGCGAACCTGGATCAGCATCGCGTGAGCTACGATGCACTTCCGACAATAAATCGCTCTAATCGTTGACATGAACTTACTGCTCGTCGGCGGAGCTATGTCTATGTCCCAGCCGCTCCCGGTACTCGAGCACGTCGAACTTTTTCGCGGGCCTACGTGCGAATCGTTACTCGACAGATTGCCGGAGCTCGGCCGAGACACTGCAATGGAGACCTAATCAGGATTTATTCTGGCTACCTTCGACAACTTTTTTAAGCATTTGTCATATTTGATTAATTATTGTGTCGTCTAGAAAAAAATGGATTGTGAAAAAGAAAATAAATTCAGAATAAATGTAAACTCGCTTCTTTTCATGAAAAGTTCCGTTTTCCTTATAAAGTGTATTTAACGAGAAGCTGTTAAAGAAGTTATTTATTAAAAAGAAGAATTAATTTTTACTGAAATAATATTGTCGATATATACTTACGAAATGATCGCATACTAGTATTGCTAGAAGTAGAATCCACGTGCATCGACCGTCCAAGTCCTTCATCTGAGACTTTTTCACTGCGATAATAAAACAATCAATTAAATTGATCTATAATAGAAAAGATCTTTGAAGAAATACATCGAAAACAGTTTACCTCGTTTTACACGTGCCATGTTCCGTCGCAGGAAAGATTTTCGTGCACATGATGCACGGTGGAGAATTCATCGAGTGAACCTTTAAATTGAAGAGGAAAATCAATGATTAAAATCTCTATGTATTTTTGCAAAAAAAATTTTAAAAACCATTATTTTAAAATCAATTTACCTTAAATGACGATCCTCTGTATGTCATTGCCACGGTGCCGAACACCATTTCGCTCAGAAGGCTCACGTCATCTTCAACGGTCTTGTCTCGCTGAAAATTTTAGATGCTACATTTCGTTAATGATATTTAATATTTGTAGATAGAAATTTAAATAAGTAATTTCGACAAAAGCTTTATTACATATGCCATGTAATCAAAGATACTATAATTTTACACATAGAGATAAAAGAGATAACTACTACAAAAAAATGAAAATAAATAAAAAATAAATAATTTGCCTGTACATTATAAAAGAAATATATAGGCAAATCGTAATAAAATAGATCGTAATAAAATAGAAAATTTCAAAATTTAAAATATTATTTTTCTAAAACATTATTGTTATTATTGTTTTAAATATTATTTGATTAAGTTTGCGTTTATAACTCTGTCTGTGTCTGGTAATTATACTAGTATGCTCGAAACTCGATGATTACCTCGAAATCGCGAGCAGTCCCTAGGTTAAAAGGCGTTTCGCATTTTCTCTCCGCATTGTTGTTTACCGTAGTGCACACGGTTTCGCTTTTACTTCGATGTTTCTGCACTGTCATCGAGTCGAAGAGAAGTTTCCTACCGCGCCATTCGCATTCTCGAAATAGCAAAATCCGCACTTGCTCCGCTCCAACTTGCAAAACGGAGTCCCTACAATAATTTTACGGTATAAAGGCCGTTTTATTTGGATTAACTCTTTTTTGCATGCAAGATGTTCAAAATAAATTATAAAAATAATAAATTTACAAATTTAACTCCTTTACATCCGACTTTTTTAAGAGAAATAAGAACATTTAGTTAACACAATTATTTTTAGAAGGTTTTGCGGTTGTTGAATGCTAAAACTGGATCAAAATATAAATTTTAAAGAGGCGAATGCAAAGAATAAAATATATCCACATGTTAATAAAATTGCGTGTTACGGGATTTTAGAATTGCTAAGTACGAAAATAATGTCGAAATGTAAAAAATCTGAAATAGCGGCCTGTAATGCAGTTTTTGTCTATGTTAAATTAAAATTAAAAAAATAAAGAAAAAAAATGCAATAATTTAACAATGAAAGCTGGAGTAAGTCAGTGTGTAATAATACAATTAAATAAGCCTGTATTAGATATAAAAATTAAGTCGGCCTGTATAGAAAAGTTTGATAAAGAATTTCATGAATTTCTCTCAAATATCTCCTTCGAATGGAGAAGCTACGAAGCGCTTCGTCGGCGCGACGCGCGTTCTCTTCGACGTTGCGTTGGTAAAACAGCCGCAGATGCAAGAATAGAGCCAAGTAATTGCAATGAAGCAGGTTAGGGAAACGGCATAAGCGTCAGTCTTTATTATAAAATTCCAGACACCTAATCAGCTGTCTGATAATACAACGCCATTACGATTTTTATTTCGCCGCCTGGGCGATACCAGAGAGAAATATATTTCGCTCCGCTTCCTTCTCAAAGCGCGAAATTCTGCCTTTATCTCCGGCGCTAATACAGAATGGCAATACGATTGAGAAAAGATTTAACACGATATGTAATAATTCGCAAGGCATATATGATATGTAATAGCGCGATGATGATGGATGCTACGCGAGCCGCTCCGAAGATATTCCACGAGCGTCGGCGATACGGAGCGAAAACGCGCTGCGAAATGGAGCAGCGCGCGATCTCTCTTGCTCACCTATCATTCTCAGTTGTTCGCGCACTGGACACTAGGCTCTCAGCACTCTCGCACGGACTGCTCTTCCTCGCAGGTAGCAGCTTATCGAGCAACGGCATCATAAAGCCACGGCCCGCAGTCTATAGTTATCGCATCGTCTCGCGGATCAGACCTGCGTCTATCATGTCACGCGGAACTGCACCATACATGTTCGCGGCGTTCGCGCGGGTATAAGTCTCTTACTGTAAATAAAGTCACGTGCGGAGGAGTCATATGATTGCCCGAGATAATAGCTCAGCGTCGCTGGCGGATGGCACGGTCGAGGCCGCCTTTCGGCTGCAACTTGGTGGAACGACCTCCTACCAAGCGCCTTTTAAACCGGTCTTATCAATCATGTTGTTTCGAATGGGATTTTTCCAATATCTGTCACATGATATTTTTTTTTCTTTCCACGCATACAGATTTTCCTTAGAAGAATTGTAAATCTAACGAGAGGAGTCATGGACTACCGACCGATGACTCTTGTTGAATCATCAATAGGTCCCACAAGATGGAGACACCCGTTATATCGCGTTAAAGTGAGCGGTCTCTTTGAAGTCACAATAGGTCCGCTGATATCGGTGTACTCGCGTCAGGCATTTACAAAGGTCAACGATACCAGCATCAGCTATTTTAGTCTATGATGTTAGAAGGAAAATCGTTCTTTAATAAATCTGGCACTGATATTTTTAGAATAAATATCGAGCCAATCAGCCTAATATAATACAAATTAAATGTATACATACAAAATATAGCTCATTATTTTTTCGAATTGTGTATTATTTTTTCAGACAAATGCTCTCGTAGCAAATGATTGTGCATGCAAGTCTTGAAACAATAATTTAATTATCATACTAGTTACACTCATTGCGATGAAATAATCAGTTGTGCACCAGAAGCAATAGCTTTCATCAGCAACTTTCATTCTTATATAATTTCTCACAGAGTTCACAACGTTGAGAAATGTATGACGAGTGATATCACGTAAACATGCATATGAAATAACATACAGATATTTGCGAAATCACGTTTCACATATGAATTTCAATCGATCAGCTTCATCGTTCGCGCCATATCGAAGTGGAACGTTGTCGTCGACATTTCTACGCATTTTGTTGGCCAATATGAGCCGATGAACGTATTCGGCATTCTCGATGTTTGTACGAGATACTTCAAAAGCTTTCTTAATATGATTCTTACTGGACAATGGCAAATAAACTGGAAACTCGATGTTGAACCTCAATATTAGATCGCCTTTTTGCTTTGGATTTGTAGGAAGTGGCATTCCCTCACCTGGCACACGTTTCATGTAATCTGGTCTGTAAGATGTAAAAAATCAGCGAAAATTTAAATAACGTTCGTAATTCAGTTACATAATTTTAGTTCCGGAAAAAAAAGACAAAGAATCGACATTGAATATTAAAATAAATTAAATATTGAAATACATTTATTAAATTAAAATAAATTAATAATAAATTTAATCTATTAAACTAAAATAAATTAAGTATTAAAATAAATATTGATAAAATCTGTGAATAATATAATTATGTCATATTTTATACGAAATTACTGTTTGAGATCCTTTGTGAGTTTGGGACGATCCTATCTAAAAGATATATCTGTAGAGATAGTAGAGCAAAGCGCAATATCGAGAGACAAAGAAAGGAACGAAAAACATGACGCAATTTTATAATGGCTTTTCGTACGCGACGATTGATGTTATTGGAATCCGAAGAGTTCTGTCGTCGACGGTGTTGAGCGTGATCACCGTTCCGGTCAGCGCCTCCCTTAGAAAGATATCGACCGTCGTGTGCAAGTCCGAGCCCTCTCGCCGGAACGTTTCGTGAGACCGATCCTCCGTGACGAAGATAACATCCGCTACGCTGACAGTGTCGTGGACTTAGTGAAGATATCACCCCACCTTGTTACAATTAATCTTTAACCCTTATTCTACGCAACCCGCATTGTCACGTGACGACGGTCGTAAATTGATCGTCTCATCAATTACGCGAATCTATCTCATTGCGAGTTAATATTATTTTTCATTACCTTATTAATTTCTTGTAAGAAAGAACGTTATATGGAAAATATGACCGATTATATTTTCGTCAATTATGGAGGGATAAAATTCAGAATAAGAGTCAAACTTTTAATTTAAATTGTGAGGGTAACATTATATAGTTCTAAAATGTGGAAAGTCGTTTGCTTTTACTATATATGTAGTATAACTGTAAAACTAGATTTCGATTAAAAGTGCGGAGCTATGAAAGAGAATCACAAAAAAAAAGTCTATCTGTTTTATTATCGCAATTATATAGTAATACTCAAATGTGGTTACGACCGTGAGCTAAGCTCGAGGAAGATCAAGAAGGCAATGGAAGGACTTACCGGGTATCTTCGTAGGGCCTTGATCACCCTCCTCTGGAAATACTATTCTGGTACCTGCTGGGATTCCCGGCTTAATAGGTATCGTCAAGATCTTTTCCGTCGACAACGTCGTCGACTTATCATCACCGACTAAAACCAACTTCTGGATCTTCATTTTCTTTATCCCGCCGAAAAATACCTACAACAAAATGTTTCCAGCTGTTTGAAATACTAGATTACCCTCGTTTTCCGTTTCTTGCAACGCTTTTGTACGTTAAAGTTGTTAAAGCATACGTTGTGTGTGTAATCCACATTTGATTTTCATTATTTTATATAAAATTTTGAAATCAAAATTTAATAACGTTGGTAATAAAATAATACAAAAAAGAAGAACCAGTCTCTGCAAATAATATGCAATTTTTTAATAATTTTAATATAAAATATTATACAAAAGAAAATATATACACATATTAATTTATGTGACAGAGTTGAGAGCTGCAGGAGTAAAAGAAAAAAAATTTATAAATATAGATCAGTTCTCACTTCCGAGAGAGTTAGAAACAGGGTTTTAATTAAGGGTTCCTCCTTCCGTTTTATACCCCGACCCTCAGGAAATTCAAGTAGAGGTTGAGGCTCTGTTAGAATATTTAGAAGATCGTCGTACGGATTTTCAGTCGCGAAGAATTCTCTAATGATGAAATTCGCGATGGACATTAACTCTTAGAATACCAACAGTTTTTCTAAAGACTCAACAATTGTGACTTAATTTTAAATATACAATGTAGCAAATATACATATAATAAATACTTGTTTCAAAACATAAATAACATCTATTCTGAGGAAAAGTAATTGCTTTAAATATATGTCACATTGTGTGATTGCGAAGTCAAATATTAAAATCAGAATTATACATGAATTCGCGATTTATTTAGAACGGTGAGAGCTCAATGGCTCTTGGTTCTACCTAAAGGTTTGCATCGGATCGCCATGATAGACGTAAGGTTTCACGAATTCTTCTGGTCTCGGCACACCATTTTTAAGACCCTCTTCACCGTATTGATCATACACGGCCCTTCTAAGAGGATCTGAAAGCACGTCGTACGCTTCAGCTGCTAAGGCGAAAATCGCCTCAGCACCTCCGTTCTTTTGCCGCGCGGGATTGTATCGTGTGACGCATCGTCGGTATCTGGAAGAAATAACCGCGCTATTTCGTCCGTGCGATACATCTCTCCTTTCTTTACTACCATATTTCTTACGTGAACCATATGATTAATATATAATATTATAAAAGCGTTGAGAAATCTTTCACGAAATGTCATTTAATATTACAAAGATATTATATTTTATAAAAATGTTAATAAATAAGATGATAAGAAGTGGAATGTGATGTTATCTTACTGAATTAATTATAGAGATCCCTACTTTTGCAAATTTTTATCAAAAGGATTATGCTTACGCTTCCTTGATTTCCGTGTTGTCACAATTCGATCCCAATGACAAAATTTTATAATAATTTATTCCGCGTTGGGTGCACATGCATTTTTCGCGTAACGCATTTATATTCAGATCACTCTTCGAAGCTTGAGAAACCATGTCGAAAAACGATGGTACGGAGAATAATGCAAATATTTTTTGAAAAGTGACATTTATCTGCAGCGAGTGTCTTTTATTCCCTTCAGCATCGTTGATCGCATCGCGACAGAGATCGGGAATAAGAAATAAGACGATCGGTGCATCGTTACGTGTTTTCAACAACCGACGACAACGGAAGTGTGTTTTTATTTGCGTGCCGACGTAGCCATTATCAAGAGGCTCACTGGCTCAAGTGCATTCTTAAACTCAGATAACAATACACGAAATCGGTGCGACAGCCGGTCTCCCGGCGTAACGGATCTAATCGACGAATTTATATCACTATGGAGAGTCACGAATACGTCCCGAATTTCGCCGTAAAAGGTAAGCATATAAAATCGCGTTTGGCTCCTAAACATTTCATGACGCGACAATTGCTCGGAGCGCACAGCTAAACGCGCATTGAATAATGCAAAGCGTGAAATATCGCGTGTGTGAAATATTCTAAAACAGTTCAAAGTAGAAATGCGGCAAAATTTTATATTCAAAAATCAAGAAAGAGCAATTTGAAGAATATATCTCATCTAGAAATAATAAAATCAAATGACTATTATAATAACAGCAGATAATAACGTTTTTAAAACATACATTTATGAAAAACTTAAGACTTGGTTGCATGTTAAATAATATGTTTTGTATACATTTAGATGAAATAAAAGATGAAATAAAAGATGAAAAAGAAGATGAAATTTACGAGGAAGAAAGGTGTATTCGCGACAGCGGAAAAGTCATTATCGTGGTATCACCGACAAAAATGGAACCATTCGTTTCCAGTGAACATTTAAAGAATAAGAAGATAAATAATAACATGAGCTTTCTCGATGTTATTTCTTCTAAGCATTCTCGCGCAGAGAAGAATTTTGATAACGATGACGATAAGGAGAACATGACGATAAAGCGTGATCCCGGTGTGTCGAAGCAATCGTGTGGCAACCGTGAGGTGGACAAGATTTTTCCTCAGCAACAGCAGCGGACACAGGCAAATCGATCGCCGAGACGCAAAAGCACCGGTATTCCGACGTTGTTGTGCATCGACGGTAACAGACTTGTACATGCGACGGCCGTGGCGGCTGGAGTTAAACGCAAGATCCCAAGGCCGGCAAACGCCTTTATGCTATTTGCCAATCAGTGGCGAAGGAAACTCGCTGCAGAGAATCCTCGGGAATCCAACAAGGATATCAGTGTCAGGCTAGTCTCTCTTTTAAAAGAAACATTTGTTTCTGCCGGATAAATACATATTAAACAAAGAATTTTTTTAAATCTTGAAAATCAACTTTTGGGAGGGAAACAATTTTAGTAAAGATCGAAGTGTTCTCACAAATCACGAATACTTGATTAGTTACTCTAAAGATGGAGATATAAATATTTATTATATTTATTCCATATGTGATCTATACCTATCTCCTTTTAAAGGATGAAATTTATAAAGAAAATTATTGTTTGAAACTTAAAGTAATTTTCCTTTATTTTACATTTCTTTAGGCTAGGCGTTTTCTGGAAAAACATGTCGAAGGATGAAAAAGAAAAATATTTTGCCCAGGCGCGTGAAGTGGATAAAGAACATAAGAGAAAATATCCTGGTATGTCCTGTAGCGATTTTTTTCTTTAAATATGACCTCACTTACATGCACCTGATCGAATCGTTAGAGTTTCCTGATTTATTTGAACGCTCGTAACGCGCGCTGCGCAGCTGCGTGACAGATTAGCGCATCTTTTCAATACAAGGGAATAAGATAACGACGAAAGAAAATACATTGATAAAAATGTCCGGAAGGTGTCGTGGACTATCGAGAGCCGGCTGGTCGCTAAAATTAGAAAATCTTGTTACTTTCACAACGCGTGTACGACATCCCAAAGTGTCGGGCCACCGTCTATAAATAGCCGGGTTGGATTAGATATCGATCGCCGCCGATAAGTCTGTCCGCGTTATCAGCCGACGAAAAGCGAGAACCCACCGCGCATCGGCGCTAACGTCTCACCCTCGGTGATGTCCTTGATCCAGGTGCACATATCGCTTGGTGAGCTTGGTCCCATTGATATCATTTGCAATGACATTATGTCTATCAGAAAAGAATACTACTTATGTATTATTATTTATATGTCGCTAATTAATATCATTATGACGCAAAGTAATCTTCGATTATCTTTTTATCTTATATGTAACATATCGCGACTGAAATGTCAGATCTTTATTGAAGTTCATGTCAACTGAGGGCGCAAGAAATCGGTGCTGCGGGTCCCTTGGACGCGATTGTAGGTCGCAAATGACGACGACGACGGTGACGACGATGACGACGAGCGTGAACGATCCTCGCGGGGGTGGCAGAGGGTGGACGCGGGAGGATGCGAGTTTTGCGGGTCGAGGTACAGGGTGGCGAGCGGAGAGAAATATTCTCGGGTGAGTGACGCGGGGAGAACGCGCGGGTGGGAACGGCGGCGAGAGAGACCGGAGGTATTGATTGCGACGCGACTCTCTAGGAACCTGCCCGATACACGACCGCCGGCTCTACCTACCTACTGCCTACACCCACCGAGGGCCGAGGCCGAGCGAACGAGCGAGCGAACTAGCGAACGATTATGCTTCGTATATCCCGCGTTGCCGACGCGCATTCGTGCGCGAGAGGAACGTCGCGAGCGCGTACAGGCGTGCTCGTCGTCGAACGGTGCCGCCTGGCCCTCTGACTTTCGGTCGATTTCGCGTGCCCCTCTGCTTTTCCGCCAGTTACATCCACTCATCTCGTCTCTTCTTGCATTATAAAAGTTACGGCAGCAACATATTTCGTCAAGATGACATAAAATTGTATTTGTTACACGTTTTGCAATTTTCCCAATCAAACATTTCATGCAAGAAGAGTGGAAAAGTTAAAATACTTGTATCTTTTGCAATTTTCTTTTTGTTTATATCTTATTGCAAGTTTCTCTTTACACCGGTAGAAAAGGGTTGTAAGAGTAGGCCAATTTTTGAAAGTGATTATACAGCTGCGTCGCTCGAGGGATAGTAAAGATAGTTAACCCATTAGATCGATACGTATTATTTTTGTCCGTGTCTCTCGCAGCCGGTACTGTTCAGACAAATCCTTCGCTTCTTCGAACAAACCGCAAATTACCGTTTCATCATCAACATACAGTTGGCGAATCGTTGGTATTCTAGCAATTTCACTTTTTATGCTAACAAGCGTTTTGCCTACACATGGGCATTTCATTATTCACATCGTAATTAGCATTTGTTTTCTTTTTTTTACATAACACAGTTTGAATTTCTCAGGGATAAGTATAAAAATTCGAATAATAAAAATGTTATGATCGTCATTGATATATTAGATAATTACGCACGTGGTGTTTGGCATTTGAATTATCGGTACTTAATATCTGAATGTGACGCGAATTACGAAAGAAAATGTTTAATTGTATTTTCTCCGGTTATTCGATCATTGTGTGTGCATCTATCGCTTCGTTACCTCGCAAAATAATGTTAAATTTTATTTTTTCATCCCCGCATTCTATTTTGATTCACGTTTCGTTGTGTCTCGGCTTTGAAACGCTCGCTCACGACAAGCACCGGCGCAATTTTCTCGTCCTCGTTTTCAACCGTCCGCCGATAATGTAATCGATGCCAATTTCAGTCGGGGCGGGCGTCCCGAGTGGTCAATTAAGATCACCGGGAAGCGGCGGAGACCGCATCGATGCGCGCCCTGCGCCGTCGGGCATCGACGGCGCGACGACCGAATTCACGTGCATCTGCGCGCGTGCAACGCGCGGTGACCACCGCGAGGGTGGCCGGTGAAGGGTGAAAGGGACGAAAGGGGCGACAAGGTGGGCGTAAGAGGAGAGGGGGGAAGAGGGTGACGCGCAGTAGGTCGCGCCGAGAGAAGCCGTCAAAATGTCGAGGCCCCTGCATCCAGGCGGCAGCGACGAGCCGATGGTACGAGCGGAGGAGGATGGTGTCGCGGTGTGCACCGGGCTGATCGCCGGTCATCGATCCACTGACAAGCCGATGCGAGAGAGGGTCGAGAGGGGGAGGGGGAGAAAGAAGAGAGAGAGAGAGAAAGGGTCGGGCGCGCAAAGGGAGAGACGGAGGACCCCGCTCGTCGATGCGATAGATTCACGGTTCACGGTGAGCGCGGATCATGCGGACAATAATGGGAGAATATTTAATCGGCGGACGCGCGACGATGCGATTAAACTCTCGGTCGTAGGACGCAACGAAACATATGTCGTCGCGTCCACTAACGTGTTGTAGTAATTGCTCATGCTGACAAGGAGGCTGAGAAGGGTAACGCTCGTCATACTAGCGGGGTCGATGGATCGTGGTCGCCTCGTCGCGCCGGGTAAGCGCGACGCGAGTAATTAGGGGGTCACGTGGGGGAGTAACGGGTCGTGCATGTTCTCCACGAGACAGACGTTGAACGCGTCCGGAAGACGTATTCGCTGAAGCACCTGCTCGACTAATGCGATATAGCCGCCTCGGCCGAGACGGCTGAGTTTAATCCTCTTCGACCGTTCGATGCTCTTCGAGCGTCGATCCTCCACGCTCTTGGAGAACATCATTCGTCACGACGCTCCCTCAAATCCGACAAGCGAATACGGCAGAGAAAGAGAGAGAGGGAGAGAGAGAGAGGGGGTGGGCGGGCGGGCGGGGAGGAAGAGAGAAAGAGAGACGAATTATCGACTCTCTCGAGGCAAGCACTGTACGCCGCATGCGGAACTGCGTCGATGCCGGAGCGTTGCACGAGGGCTCCGGCTTGAAGCCGTTGAAGAAGGCAACGACAGTGGAAGAGAAGAGGAGAATTTTGCCGGCGCCCCTCGTCTCTTCTCCTCCCAGTGGCGGATTTAGAATCTGAAGAGCCCTAAGCGGAGGGCAATGTTACAGCGATTCCGTAGCTTACGATATTAGGACCATTCTCTTCATTACAATTCCTCGCGTCACAAGAAATATTATTATGTCATTTATAAATTATTTTTATTCATTAATTATAAAAATCTTTGGCGATAAAATTATGTAGGTGATATAGTCACGAACTTTTCATAGACAAGTACAACTGTAAACGTACACAGAATGATTCTGGAATCCTTCGACAGCCAGGGTCCTCAGCGACCGTTTATCGATAAATCGCCACTGCCACCTCCCTCCTCCACCTGCTCGCGTCCCACACGCCGCGACACACCTCGCGATGCTCTCGAGAGGGTGGGGAAATGCGCCCTCCGCGCTCGACCACCCCCTTTCGCGCCACTCCGTGGCTCGTCGATGACGAAACGCACGTAAATTCGTGGCGCTGCCGCCGCCACCACCACCACCGCCACCGCCGCCGGATGAAATCAGTGCGACTGGAGTGCACCGCGAGGGAAGAACGCGGGTCTCCCCGTGTGCGGCCCGCCGTTCCCGCTTGCGGCACGCGCGCGCGCGCGTCCGCCCGCCTGTTCGTACGTTCGTCCGTTCATACATTCTTTCTGTCCGTGAGAGTAACGTAAGCGGCGCGATGTGGCACAACAAAGTGGGAAAACAGACGAGTAAATAAGTCGTTGTGCACGCCGAAACAAGGGGGTTATTGCGTTCCCAATTAATATAAACGACGAATCGCGCGAAACGTTTTGAAACGGAAAACGAGAGTGCGGTCGTTCATTCATCGCGGCAAGATAGACGCAAGCGTGCGAAGTCGTTGTGATAGTAGCATAGTTTAAATGTATAAAGAAGATAAACGGAGTTTACGCGAGAAATGTGTCTTCAAAATTGATTAGAATCGTTTAGGAAACAGTCGGAATGTGATCCGAGGTATCACGGGGAGAAAGAGAGAGAAATAACCGCCTGGAGCTGACTGATCGATCACGCGCGTCGCGTGGACTAGGTCAAGTGACTAATTAACAGGCGAGAGCAATTTAGAGCGATTAAACAGAGAGGCGTCGAAAACTTCCCTGGCAATTTTCGATCCAACCCCGTCGTCCAATCGTCCGACCAAATATCGATTCTGGATAGAATCCGTCGAGCAAAATTGCCGTAATAAAAGATAGAAAAAAAAATCAACCAAATTCGTTACGCCGGACGAAAACGGTGTCAACGAAGGCGCGGAAAAGGTCGCTGGTTGTTTTCGGGGGGCGGGGTGAGAGGAGCGTACGAGGGGTGCAGCAGGTGCAGCGGGAACGCAGCTTCTGTCATCGATCTCGCCGCGGCTGCAGCGAGCATGGCGCGGCCCGCCGCACACGCCGAGCCGCGTCCGCGTGCGGACGCGTGGCGATCGACAGCGACCAGATGATGATGATATGTTAATTGGTCACGATCGGTCGGTGACGCGCATCGATTTGTCGACGATCATCCCCGACGACGATGATGTCAACAACGAGAACGATGACGATAACGACGACGACGACGACGAGGAGGAGGTCGACGTCGACGGAACCGCGAGCGCTGGATCTTTCCGACACAGGAGATCGATCGAACGCCTCCCTTCGGTATCCCCCGGAGCAGTTGCACGGCTTTCCCGGCGTGAACGTTCGAGCGTAAACCTTACGGCGAAAGGGTAAAAGCGCGAAGGGACCGTGAGTTTCAGCGCCTTCGGTACGAAGAGGAGAGCGACGCCGGTTTGCACTGCGCGGTCGCGGTGCGTCGTCCGCGGACGCGCGCGGACGGTGTTTACATTTGCGAGAGCCGCGAGACGTGGACCCGCGAAATTGAGATATCGATCGGGGTTTCACGGGGAGAGCACGATTCAACGAAGATCGCGGCGTCTCGTTTATCTCTCGCGCTCGGCGTTTCGGCTCGCGAGAACGTAGACTTGAAAAGGAGCGTCAATCTGCAAAAATTCGCGCCTGCCACTGGTGTTTATATCTAATCTTGTAAGATGCACATCCGTGAAATCGCAAGAGTGTGCCATACAATTAGTGAGACTTTAGGCACGCAAAATAAAAGAAATACAAGTTTTAATTAATATTGTGATCGTATCCGACAAGAATTTGACGATTCACGCGCTAATATGAAAAGTATCAGTAGCAATTTTCGGGAACATCGAGAGAAGATAAGCAATTTGAGAGACGGAGTGCGTACTCGCGTTTATCAATTCAACCATCAAAGAGTTTGGTCTGTGTTGCGTGATATACTGTAACCGAGATAGATCAGAGTCTCGCGCGCGATGTCGGCGCGCAACGGGAGAAACGTAGCCTAAGCGTACCGCGCCAAGCAGGGGTGATCTAGATCGATACGTGAAGGCCTCAAACGCAGCGTCGCGCAAAATCGCAGAGATGGACTGCTGCAATTACATCGAGGCTTACGCGGCAGGTGGTCATTTTTATCAGCAGCAGCAGCAGTACTTCTGTTACGACAATGGTAGCGTGGCGTATACCGGTTACGACGCCGCGCCGATCTCTAACGCAATCGACATTAATGCTCGATACAACGGGGCGATACCACCCACGTACCCGACAGGTAGAAAACGAAATGCATGTCGCACTGAAATGATAGTGCATAGTTTTGCAATATTGCGTGCACGCACGCATATTTTTTTTTCTTTATTTCACAGCTCTATCCAAAATTAAAATTTCCAATATTAAAAAAAATACAAATAAATTTATTCGTAAATTGAAGAAGAGCTGTCGACAAGTATATTTGATTTGAAAGTTAACTTATTATTGGTTAAATGTTGGAAAAATTAATGCTAAAAAAAAGTAAAATTTTTCTTTCAATCGGTTAAAACTTTCGCAATAAAAAATAGAAATCTCCGTAGTATGCTATATTGTATCCAATTGGATCATTTAAAGTAATTCATTATGCAATGAGATTTGTACGTTACGAAACTCATTTGTGAAACATTATTTTATTTACTAGTTATAGTTAAAATTACATAATCTCACATTAACGTAATAAATACTTAACCACTGCTGCTGGACCACTTCTTGATAGCTTATCATATTATTTGTTTCTATCTTATAGTAATATGTGCTATAAATATTCGAAAATAGCGATCGAAAATTCAGATATAGCATGATATTTTGCATTTCTGTATTAATAACGATCGCGTTTTTTTTTACCCAGATTATGTGTATAATCCAAAGGAGGCGAGGCTACGGAAGGCGATGCGCGAGCAGACTCGCGAGCTGTCACGGCGATCAATCTTGCAAAACGCGATCGCGCGCACGGCCGCGATTAGCGGCGGCAATTCCGTTGTTTCGATGGCCGGCGGCTTCCTAAATCAGCATCATCGTTTCGATTGCGCGTCGATGCCCATGGGTTCAAACGTGAGCCCTCATCAAGTGGCCGAGCCCTGGTTCCAGGCCGCGCATCGTCTGAAATCCGCGCACTCGCCGCGAATCGGCGATTGGTATGGGAACGTGTGCGGTGACCCGATCGAGAGGCTGCAAGCGATGGGCACGATGCACCAGCATCAGCAGCAGCAACAACAACGTGACCTCGAAAAGTCTAAGGACCAAAGGAATCAGGTGGCGGAGTGCGCCGCGGTGGCGTTTTCTTCCAACGGCTACTCACCGGACATCGCAACTGCGGAAAGAGAAATCCGCCGACCAGAACCCGCGGCGGAATACGCCGACTTCGTCGACGGCCAGAAATGGCACCCTTATCAAGTAATATACAGAGCGCAATGGCATAACTACAAAGAAACAATAGCGTTAAAAAACGTTAATTTTGATTTGTGAATCTCGTTCAATGTAAATTCGCAAAAGCTTTTACCAATCTAATTTTTTATAGACAAAGTAGATTTTTTTTAATTCTGTTGGAAGTAAAATACATTTCTGTAATTTATGTAGTAAAATACGAATAGATATTTTTTTCTTTGATTGAGTTACATATTAAATGTCTTCAAAAATCTCTTGATATCTCGGATTGCAGAATAGCGTAAGCCCTCATCCACTTCCGAGAACGCCTCATCCATCACCGCAAATGGGTGGCGTTCTTCACTCGAATGTCCAGAATACAAACGCGCATGGACATGGTCCATGGGGCCAATTTTGTCACGGCATGCTACCACGTAAGTTCCATGTGTATGGAATATTTTATTCTAGTCATTGCAGCGATTTTAAAACGCTAGTAACTTGATTATTTAATATGACTAATCATTTTTATATACATAGGGACCTGAAGTGACACAAAATAATATATCTGTGTTGATTAAGAGAAAAAAAATTTTTAGTTTTGTATGATATTTGAATGTGTACAATATTTCAGATGTCCCAAGTGCGGCTCGCAACGCGGCGATTCGGGGTCCGCGACATGCAGTTTTCTTACGGGATCGTACACCTACTAGGCATTGTACATTCTTGGAAGACGCGTCGCAAATGAGTTATGCGCCGAGCAAATTGAACATTGATAGCATTCGCGCGTCTTATCCGCCGTCGGAGCATCAGGTATTCAATATGACTGTCGCATCATTGCCTAGCAAATTGCGAATACGAAAGTCTCACGAATAGACTATAAACTGTAATGATGAAGAATGGCGGAAAAAAATCATAAATTTATTACGTCAATTTGACATTTGCCGTGAATTAATAAGGATTTTATCTACGCAGATGCCAAGGTTACTGGGATCAGCGGTAAATTCCGTCATAGACTCGACAACGACGACGACGATGAATCGACGCGAGGAAAACGGCGGGACCAGATGGGAGCCAAACCTGCCAAACAATACTGGGATGCCTCTCGATGAACTCGTGCCAACCTCCACGGTAAAACATGTCGCGCTCTCATTTGAATTTATAAATACAAATACTTGGTCCATTCTGAGATGGATATCAGATTATTACATCTCACTATACCCTAAGTTTTAAAGACGTGACGATTTTAGACGCAGGAAAGCACGGTTTCTCACGAGAAAGAGCGCGAATCCCGGCACTCGAGCGAGCGCTTCGAGCTGAAGAAAAAGCCCGTCTCGAAGCAGCCGCTCCCGGGTTTCCATCAGGCCTTTGGCTCCACGGAGATCGGCAAGTTCTCCAGGTCCGAGTTCTTCGTGAATATGGTGGGCGAAAGCGGTAGTAGCGGCGATGTTACAACGGATGACGGTGACGGCGCCGATGGCGGCGACGACGGCGAAGTAGTAAGTAGGGAACATTCCCTGTCGGAAGCAGTGGAAAATGCCGCCTCGGCGACGGCTGCGGTCGCGGCGGCCGCGACGGCCGCGACCGCAGCTACGGCGGCGACCGCTGCCGCAGCGGCGGTTGTCGCGGCCACCACAGCTGGCGCCTGCAGGATTTTCGACACCGAGAATAACCAGGCCACATTTGCCGTCGGCGACGACGCCGTCGGCGCGCCGTCGTCGATTGGCAGCGCGTACTGCGGACAACCGGCGGCGGCGGCGACGCCGCGCTGGCACAGTCCACACGTAGGCGCTATAGGTAGCGAAATTTAAACGAGGATCGGCTGCGGTATCGCGTACTGTCTTTTGTCGATATTTTTTACTATAGCGAGAAATATCAAGAGACAACGTTTAGGGAGCAAGAATTCACAGAATTTTATATTAGATTAATTGAAAGACGGAAGAGTCACGTCAAATTTATTACTTCGTGATTGTAAACGGCGATTTTTTAATTATGGAACAAACAAGTATTGTTGGTACGGTACAGAATACCGCTGCAGATCGATTTCAGTAGGACGTTGTCCTCGTCTTTTTTTTAGGCTAAAGTGGTTCCCGTAGCTTTCCGGCGCGTGACAGTTTGCGATAAAGTTGAGTGGCGATATATTGTATTTCCGATAGAAACAAGTTACAGGTGTAACACTGGTAGTTTGATGTGTAGCAAATTTTGGTAACGAAAGAACTGTCCATATTTTACGTTGCATATGCCAATAGGAGACTCATCCAGAAATTGGAACCGCTCATGTATCTGAATTTAATCGCCGAAGTAATTTCTACTCCGTTTATTCGAGATAATGAAATTCGCGAGAGACGACATAAAAACACCAACCCCTTTGATATCTCTAACATCAGAAATTAAGCTCGAAATCGCGTCGGTTTCAACCCCTGGATTTGTCTCCATGATGAAACCTTTGTCGGAACCTACAGCGCCGCTTGGAAAGTAAAAGCGGGACACGCGTGTCATGCGTAGCGAATGCAAGTGCATCGATTGGCGAAAGCATGTCGGGGATCGATGTTGGCGTACGAAACGTCCCGACAAACTGCGAACGTTCGTCGAGATTGTGCCTTCCACAGGATCGGGGACGCGTCGGGGAGTTCTCGTCGAGTTCTCTCGCCTTATCGAAAATCAAAGCAGCACGATACACCGCGTCTCGTATGCCAAAAGGAAGATATAATCAAAAGAAATCACGCCGAGACGATCCTTACTCGATCGGCACCTTCCATCACTGTTGTTAGATGCCGTCGGTGTTATACACGTCGACGAGTGATTATATATATAAATATAAATATAAATATAAATATTATACTCGTGTGTAATAAGAAGGAACGAATACGCGCGACGAAGAGAGTAAGTTATTTAGTAGATTTCCTTAGGTCAGAACGTATTGCCGCGCGCGGAGAAACGATCAAATAAAAGTGAAGTACGCCTGCGAGCGTAGGAGGCTGAGAAGCCGACAGGTAAACGCTTTTCCGCTTCTGGAAAATAATTGCGAAGGGGCATGCACGGTGGTTCGTGTTGAGAATCTGCATTTGAACATTTTTTCACAGTTTTTCCTCTTTTTGGCACATTTAAAATTAATTACCACTTAACACTTGATTAGACAAATTTTTTCTTTCTCTACATATATTGCTAATTAGTTTTAGTTAATTAGGTATTTAACTAAATATTTTAATTGGCCAATTGATTTAATTCATCCATTTAAGTCAATGCTCTTATATAAATGCTTCGTTATTATACATTTAAATGTGTTAATTTTGCGCAAAAATCTTTTCTACTGTCTAATCTAACGAAGTGTATTTGCCGGCAGATTCTTAATATGCGCTATAGTATCTATAACTTGCGTCTAGTCTTATATCGACCAGTTAATTCGGGATAAATTCGTGCCGGATACCCTGTACCTATGATGGGACCAAAAATTGAACGAAAAACTTTTATGTTGCGTTCACCGTCGCGCTCACGCCCTACGTATGGTCGCGTAAAAAGAACTTCCCTCATTCTGTTCGCGCGATCGCTCGCGAGTGAAAGCAAAAACGTCACACTTCCGCTCCGAAACGTGGAATATATTCGACAGAATAGTGCGACTACGTGAATGAAAGTATATTAATACACATATATAATTGAAAAAAAAAAATATATTCCACTTCTTGCAACGGAATGAGCATAATCTCACGCCTTACAAAACATATTTAGACAGCCGTCAGATCGAAGTGTGCGTGAATATCATAACCGAAAAATGACGTTATCCTCGTAGGATGAAAATTGGAGTAATTTTGAGCTAGATATCGATAATATGCGACGTCGTAAAAAATAAAAAACTTTCTTGGCGTTGATGTACTGTGCATGTTGGACGATACAGATAAACTTTAAATGAGGAATACTGTTTAATTAATCGGAAGAACGTAAATGTACATGTGTGATACAATATATCATAAGCAACGGTAGCTAAAGGTGATAGAACAAACCGACCTACAACAGACCTACAACGTTTTATGCAAAATAAGTACCAAATGTCAAGTTTTTGATGCCGGAAATATTAACGACACGATATCCTTTCGAAAAATATGTTGAGTAGATAAATTGGCATTTACGATATATAATTGTCCTGTGATACGAGATGGACAAAAAAAGATCAGCGTTGAAAAATGTATATCTAACTTTACTCTCATTCGATTGGGACGATCGCGAGCAGTATGATAAGAATAAAAGAAACGGATGTCTATGCGACAGCAAAGAAAAAAGAAACAAAATGATGTGTCTTATTTTTTCCCAGCTGATCCCGGAAGCCTATCTGACGACTCCCTTGTTGTTTCCCTTCTTACCGAAATCCCACGATATACTAGAAGCCAATGCTGTTCACGGAATCACAGAAGATGGACGATTAATATCGCACATTTTGCCCAAAGAGTATTGTTGGCTTACGCAAATTAAGCGCGCGATAGCCAGGATTCCTGATGACCTTGTGGTAAGAATGACAT